CTTGTGTTAATTTTGCCACTAGTTGCCAGCAAATCTCTCATTCCTCTCATTTTTGCACTTTTCAGATTGAGCACAAGCTTCTCTTTACTAGAGTTTTCTACACCAGCTTGCAAAGAGTTGCTGTGCTCCACCTTATCACTGGAAGTAACAGGAGGTTTTACTCCACCCAACTCATTTTTCATGGGCACTGCTGCTGGAGATAATGACCCTCCCTGTGCAGATGACAATGCTGATCTACAATCAGGAGAAAATCTTGAAATAGACTGTACAAGCTTTTTTGCCCAATCAGCATGGAGCACTGGGGTATGACCTCCTTCTTCCCACAAGCAAACACCATCATAAAACTGAAGAACAAAAGCAAAAAAGCTTGGGTCTTCTGTGAGGTTGGGAGTCCTGTAAGCAGCACTGTTTTCGCTACTCTCTGCAGATGAGGTTGAGGCTTTGAGGATGTTTGGTATAAAGTCATTGGCAATTTCATATAGTTCTTTGAATATTTCCTCATCATCTTTTGAATAGTTGTACCTATAACAAAATAAAGAGCATTTTCAGAGGTTCATAGCTTACAGGTGACCTTTAAATAACTGCTTCCAAATGATGACCTGCTCATTTGTAACATCCAACAAACCCTTAAACTTCCATACATGACCAGGGCAGAATTTCCCCTTACAATATAAACACAATATAAAGCAGAAAAGTTATGAGAAAAAATGAAAACTATCAATTAGGGGATTTTCTAATTGATCCAACGCCAAATTCTCAGAACTAACATCATGAGAATTGTACAGCAGGCAGTTGAGAATCTTGGTAGTGAAAGAGTTAATGATAGTAATAAGACTAAAGAAAAAAAATAAGGGGTATCAATTTACTATGGTCATAAAAATTAGACAAAAACAAATTTACTGTCTTACTTTCCAGCCACATATGCAGCCTTCACCCAACAGTCAATGGCTTTCATATACTGCTTCTGTCTGTGGTAAAAACCACCAAGGTAAGTGTAAGGATAAATATGCTGGTCTTTATACACAGTTTGGTTCACTTTAATTCCCTCTTTAAGGATTTCTTCAGCTGGTGGGCGATCAACAGTTGGTGATATCTCTTCCAGGTCCCCAAGGTTTCCCAAAGCTAGAGGATACCTATGACAAAAACAAATTTTCAATTTACAATTAACTTTAGTTTATGGCAATGACAGCTGATCACAGGTTGTGAATAAGTTTTTAGACTGAATTGCTTTTCAGACAGGGCATGAGCTAAACAGGCTGTGAATAAGTTTTTCAGATTGAATTACTTTTCAGACAGGGCATGAGCTGAACAAGCTGTGAATAAGTTTTTCAGATTGACAGATTGAATAGCTTTTCAGACAGGGCATGAGCTGAACAGAATTGTGAATATGTTAAGGTTTGCAGTAAAAACCTAATTTAATTTCCTTCTCTATAGCAGATGAAGGTATTTGAAGTTGGCATCCATGGCTGGAAATACAGGACTGCGATGCATGACCTTTACAGGTTTCCATTTTGCTTGTACCCATTTATACTGTCTACCTTCTGCAATATAAAAGTTTACTATGGCATCTATTTATAAATGCAACACACAAAACAGTACAATACAATACAATACAATACAATTTATTTTATGTCGGTAATGTATGGGGGTGGTTACCCAATCCCCCGAGCCTAATGGCTCATGTTGAAAACGCTCGTAGTAAAAAGAGTAGAAAACAGTAAACAGTAGAAAGTTATGCTACAAATATAAAACATTTGATGAAAAAAAAAAAAGAGAGAACTGTACCGTTTGAGGTGACCTTGGTCATAGAGTAACCACAGAAGTTGCTGTTGATAGAAAAGCAAGAAAAAAAATAACTTAGAAAAAGACTTTGAGTCATACAACTCTTTCATAAAAAAAGATACCAGGAGAATCAAGCATGAGAGATAAAATATATACTTGAGCAGGGGTAAAAAAATAATTTCTGTGTTTTAACTCATGAAATTTTGATTTAATTCCACAGGGATCTCATTTCTTGCAAATTAAAGACAACTTGTAAAATCTCTGAAAATTCAAAGGCATAAAAATTTATGCCCATACCTGTTGTAGACTAGCCAGTTCAATACTGTCACTTGTATTTGTGATGCCTGGATTAATGGACGACACCATAGATGCCACCTCCATATGCCGCGTGCACTTCACAGGATACCCATTCAGATATAGCCAGCTCTGGCCAGCGGTCTTGTCAAAGTCCACAGGGCGCCCTCTCTTATCCTCATTTCCCTTACCATGCCATGTTACCTCTGCGGTTTCTGCGGCATTTTCACCAAACACCACCCAAGCATGGTCTTCAGACAGAGCTAAGTGGACATCATTGAAGCCCAGAGCTTGACAAATGGCAACCACAGCAAAGGCAACACCAAAGCAGTCAAGCCGATTGCCTACACATTAATGAAGGTATGTCTTAGCATGGGAATTTAGTTTCCCCCTACTACCGTCCTGTCAACCATTTTTGTATTCTGGTTCGATGTATGGTTACAAACTGTGATTAAAGATAAAGGACATAACAAAAAAAAGATTAACCCTTAACTCCCAGAAGTGATAAATATGTAACTTCTCCCTATAATATCCATACATAATCCAGCAAACAGGTAGTGAGAATACTCAAACTTATCAAATACAAGATATTACCTTGATCAAACACCAAATTCTCATGACCAATTTACAAGGAAATGTGTAGCAACTAGAGGGGAAAATTAATAATAGAGCTGGTAAGGAGAATTTGTCAAACAAGCTTCACTGATTGGCAATCATTTCCTTTATTCTCATGACCTTTATGTTTGATTCAGAAGTGATACTGTAAGGAGAAATGAGATGCTGGTCACCTGTGGAGTGTAAATGGTTAATTGAAATGCCTTAGTAATTCCATTACCATGACACACCCGCCCCACCCCAAGAGAAAAAAAAGTAGCAAACCAAAAGGTTGAATAAAGGCTTAAGATGTACACATTTACCAAAAGGAATATAAGTCAGTTAAAATTATTTTGAAAATGTTCACACTTTTCCTCATTAACACCTTCCTTAAGAAATCTGCCTGCTGAACACAAACTGATTCAGTCTTGAGACTATTTTTGAAAATCATTCTTGTTGTTTCAATAATTTTTGTGTCTCTTTCCTACTCACCATAGGATGCACTAGAAATATAACATAATTTTCCTTGTTGGTTAGCAAACAGAATAACACAATTAATGATGAGATCTATTTTGATTCAAAAATCTACGTCACAAAAAAAAAAACTAAACATCACAGTGTAGTAAATCACTTAAAATTGTAAGAACATGATAGCTTTCACTTTAGCCAAAAAAAAAAACAAAGACATTTAAAACAAAGATATTAAAAAAAAGCGAACCAAGAAGTGACAATTTTTCCCTATATACCTTTCAAACACGAAATAGTTAATTAGAAGCGCTCTTTTTATTTACAGACACAGATTGGCATGGTCTGGCGAGGTTAGATGGAATTTGCTCTCAGGCATAATTTACAGTATATGAATGCAAACAATTAAAACGAATTAAAATTCGATCGATCATTAAAAAGGTGGAAAAATGAAGACCATCTCGAAATTGTAAAGACGCAGGGCTTCGAATGATAAACCTCACCTGCCACCTTGGTCTAAAAGGATTAATGTAATCACAGCCTACGAGTAAATGAACACTGATACACGCTAATCATACTTGCCTGTTAGAAAGCTGTAGAGATTCTGAATATGTGGTTTATCCTTGAAATAAGACTTGGAAAGGCAACTCCACACAAGATCTGCGACATTGACGACGAAGTCCCTTGAAGCTGGCTTCTGTTCTTTGTTAACGTTAAAATCTTTGTGAATCAAGGCCTGAAATTTACCGTACAACGCGTCGAAAGTTTCTTTGTCTAATCCTGGGCAGCTACTCGAGGAACCTTTGCAAGTTAGGGCCGTTTCAAAGAACCCTAAAATGATCGATAACTTCGCCAGGTTCGGCTCGTCTTTCCCAAGTTCCGTCTTGAAAACCTCGACCACGGATGAGATGTCTTTCAAAGGAAAACAATCCACGTCCGATTCCATTTCGACGCAAAATCAAGACTTCAGATCACAGCATTCGAGAGTACTCCTTCACGTACGACCTAAAAAAAATAGAATTCACTGCAGTTTCGCTATTAGAGCTGTTTCTTTAGCTAAATAGCAGCTGGAATTTCGATTCTAGCCTTTGACAAAGTACATCACTCAATCCTAAGAGTGCATGATCATAAACGCAAACCACCATCGAAGAATAAACAAACATGTCAGAACAAATGAAAAAGAGAGATTTGAATGAATGGAACCAAAAAAATGAAACTCCTAAGCAGAAAGGAACTGGTGAATACTTTTGACGTCATAACAAGTCACGTGATCGAAAAATTTTACGCTAACTCGCCATCTTTACTGAGGAAGTGTGAGTAGACATTCACTTGGATTTTTCTCGAATTTAAGCCTGTTACGATGCGGGAAAAAACGTTATCGTGATTTTATGAAAACTTCATATTTATAACAATTATTTTGTCTTGATATTTAGGTATTTCCCTCAATTTTGGGCTGTTAAGTGCGTGTTTCGCGCGCCACTGTTGTGCAAGGAGATTTCGACGATTTCGTCATCTTAGGGCAATTTATGACTTTTTTGTGCTCAGAAGGTAAGACAACAACCGGTGACTCATAATTTGACGAATTAATCTCTCGGAGTAGTGGTTTATTTTTTTTATTTTACCTGTCGAATGTCGTCATCTGTTTGTGTGTGAATTCCTCTTCATTAGTTGCTGTCTTTGTGTTATCGATCCCTCTGCCTTCCTCTCTCGTGTGTGGTAAACTTCTTGTAAGACAAAATTTTACGAAGTTTTTGACCGAGCAAGTTTTCTCCTTTTCTTATGCATCTCTGAGTTTTTTTCTCGCGAAACATTTAGTTTAAAAATATATTTGTCTTCGGACACGTCGCCCTCGGGCTGTTAGAAAACGTGGAAGATCCAAAACCGAAACCTTACCGCTATATTGTCCAAATAACTGGGTCTCTGAACGAGAAATATGTTGTCAATATTATTTTTAGTCGTCATTAACAGTTCTTGCCTCAAATTTCAAGCATAGGTTTTTGAATACTGAAGCAGAATTTACTTCCAAAAAGAACTGCCGAGGAAATTAGCACAACTTACCATCCAAATTTAAAACTTTGATTATTTCAGCTTGCACAATAGGGAAACAAAACAATGAAAATGTTTTGAATCAGCGCATACACACGTTTGTTCAAATATCCATCAATACTTAAACACTAAAAAAAAAAATGTGAAAAATAAGGAAAGCCTCAACAGACTTGAATTGAACACACGAACTTCTTCATTATTCTAAGTGAATTTTTTTAGAGTAAAATGTTTCCAATGTGGAATTTTTTAAGAGGGTTTAAATCCAAATTAGTGAGTCTAGTCTCTTTATACTGTCCAGGACTGAACATGGGTGTCCAGGGATATTGAAAATGTCTTGGCTTCGTTTCCCAAAAATATTTCATTCTTTCAAATGAGGAAAGTCCAAACAATATGACCCATCAGAAGAATGTACTCCTGTCTTAGTTAACCCTTAAACTCCCACCAGTGACCAAGACAGAATTTTCCTAACATTTTCAATACAGTATCATGCAGAGAAGTGATAAGATTGAAGAAAAATTTCAATTAGCAGATTATTAGTTGATGCAAACCAATTCATAAAATGAACATCATAAGAATTGTTAAGCAGACATTATAGAGAGTTATTAATAAGATCTTGGAGAGAAGGGTTAACTGAAAAAAAGTAACTATTATTGTTACATTTGGTAAGCATCAAGTCTTAAATTCATAGGTGAATTTTAAAATGAACTTTGTTCCCATGCATCTAGAAGGGATAAAGTTTCTGCATGTGACTTCTCATCTGTTATTGAAGCACGTGTGGACAAGAAACCAGATACCATACTTGGTTTTTTACATTTCCTCGACTATCCTGCACTTCAAGTGGCACAATTGAAAGGGGTTTTATCTCATTTAGAGTTGAGTTGTGTACTTTAAAAAAATGTCTATACCTTCTCTATTTGTTTTGGTGCATTTACATGAACATGTAGTCAAATTAGCAATGGTGAATAATGATAACAATAATAGTAAGTCTCTATTGTTAATATAGGACAAGTAAGTTAACAATGATTAAGAGGTGGAAAATGAATTTTGAAATATACCACATTATTTAACCCTAATTATATCTACATGTATGGTGGATTTATTTGGCTTGAAAAGTATGAGCCCCACACTTCAACACTATGATTCAGCATTGAGATCCTATTCATGAATCTATTGAAAGTAAATAGAAATCCTAACACCTGATGGTACCACTTCTGAATGAATGGTATGAATGATTGATCATCCTTTTTTTTTTTACTATTATTATTATTGTCTTTTGTAGGTTGGACTCGGTTGAGCAAACTCAAGATTCATTTACACACAGAAACTAAAAGCGGGCTAAAACGCCTATCTTGTTTCGCAGTACGGAAAAGATATAGAACTTGTATGAATTTTACAGGGAAAATTATACACAGCAGAAATAATTATTGCAGTAATTGCAATTATTACAAGCGTTTGTCAAAGAGGAAACTTATTAAAAGTAGTCAATCATGGCTCTCGTCAACGTCAACAGAAAAAACACCGATATGTATTACCGGTACAAGATGCCAAAACTCCTAGCTAAGGTAAGATTTTATTGAACAAAGGTAAAGGAACTTTTTCATGCAAGTTTCTAAAGCTTCTTAAATACTAACAGGGATAACTTTTCATGGGCACTTCTCATGGAATTTGATTTATTTATTGAAGAATCAATTATTTAGAATGTTAGAAAATTAAATTTCGTTATTCATATGAGAAGCTGGAGTAACAATGAAATTTGTCAAGCAAAAATTATTGAGTTTTCCAACCATAATACCACAGAAAACTTCTCAGAGGGAACTCATCCTCTGGCTCCAAGCTCCAAGTAATGTTGATAACTAGAAATAAAAAGAAGGGGAAGGAAAATTCATGCAAATATTAAATTATGAACTGTGTTGTTGACTGAATCTCTTGTGCATGAAATAAGCAATGTGAACATTTGGCAATTGTTTTTAGGGGATTCGTGTGAAATCCTAAAGGTTAGTACTCAAACAACCACATAGAAAGAAGCAGTTGTTTTTCATAGAAAGCAAAGGCAAAGAAATTGTCCTTTTTTAAGCAAAAATGTGTTGGGTTTTTTTTAATTTTAGACCTTGAACACTAGGTAATACAAAAATGATGGCTGGCATCATAACCGCCACAGACAGTTTGTTAAATCAGCACTAATTTTTTTCCCTACCCTTGTTTTGTTTTGTTTTCCTTGCAGCTTGGAGGGCTGCTCTTAGGGAAAAACCTGCTAGTATAAAATTGTGTTTATTTATAGATAAGCAGAGGGTTGTCATTTGTTGCTATTATTGTCACAGTTCAAAAGCTAAAGCTGATAAGATATTGAGTTTACAGCTTCACAAATATTTTCAGGTGGAGGGAAAAGGAAATGGAATCAAAACAGTCATTGTGAATATGGTAGAAATTGCCAAAGCCTTGCAGAGACCAGCCTCATGTAAGGAATTTTTTTTGCTGCAAAATGAGTTCTTTTAGATTCCTAAATTAGGTGTTTTAAATAAAACCAGTTACATAGTTTATGATGTGTATTTAGTGTTAAGTAATTAGACTCAGGATGGATTTAGCAGTACACCTCACCTTTAACAAAAATTTCTTTCCCAGTTTAGAGCACTTTTAAAATGTCATACAGGAACTTACCTTATATCAGGTACTAGCCCTTAGCTATTAATTGGTCAGCATGCAAAAAGAAATCTAATTTTTTAAAGAAATTTAAGTGCATATTGCCAAGTATCCACCCCACATAGATTTTGTGATATCTAACTACTTGCCACATGATAAAGTTGCAATACACAAATTCTCCCCCCTTAGATCCTACTAAGTACTTTGGTTGTGAATTGGGTGCACAAACCCAGATAGACTTGAAGAATGAGCGCTACATTGTAAATGGATCCCATGATGCTGAGAAGTTGCAGGACATTCTTGATGGGTTTATTGAAAAGTTTGTTTTATGCCCTGATTGTGATAACCCAGAGATGACCCTGATTTGACTTGTTCTTTATAAGAGATAACCCAGATCCATATACATCCCGAGGGCTGTAGGCCTGGTAAGCTGATTAATTCGAGGTATTTATCTGACTTATTTGAAATTATTCATAGGTTCATTAGAATAATTGGAAAAAAATTATGAGGGATTTATTTGTATAAATCCCTGAAACGAGGGATTTATACAGATAAATCCCTCATTTACAATGCAATTCAATTCATTAGCCCCGCTCTTCCCTGCTACATTATCAAGCCCTCCCCGGACTTTCAGTTAGTTTAATATTCATGAAGTATGTAAGTTAAATAAAGGATGTTGAATAGCAAAAGAAAATGTGTGATTCATGAAATAATTCCTGGTAATACATTGGTACTTAAGATAGGCTAGTGGTGACAGTTCATTTTATAGATAAGCTTGTCATTAACAATTTCAAGGATTTTTCACTTGGGCCATAAGTCAGAAATAAACTTGTTCAAAAGAAACGTCGTTCTGTAACTTACAATATGAACCTCAAACTTGGTTAGTCAGGGGCATGCTGAAAGATTTGCCATCTTGCTTCATAAATTGTCCTGAACCATTCAACTTCAATGCATTACACTAGGAACATACCAAAACGGAGACCTCCTAGGTGACGTATTAATGGATATTCATGCAGAAAACCAAGATCTTCATGGTTGATCAGAAAGACACAAAATTTTAATCATGGCTGCATATTGTGTCATTAGTAATAATGTAAAGGAGAAGGCTGCTGTGCTTTTATAATCTTTCTGTTGTAAACCACCCCCCCAACTACATACCTAACATACTGTACATGTATTTCTCTTGCCTTCATCAGTCCAGCAACTGTTAAGGTAGAAACTGGTTGAAGTTAGAAGAGGGGTTAAGTAAGATTTGATTTTCTTCATTTGTTTTCTGAACGTTAGTTGGTTGAAGCACGTAAAGAGAGGATCGGTCAGAAATGCAAAGCTTGTGGATACAATGGTTACATCCACATGCAGCACCGTCTGATTACCTTCATTTGTAAGAATCCTCCAAATGAGTCAGGAACACCATCAAAAAAGTAAGTGGTAGACTACCAGTGATTTTACACATTTTGCCTGCAGTTATATGTAATCTAGGTACTTATTGGAGTCAGGAACACCATCAAAAAAGTAAGTGGTAGACTACCAGTGGTTTTACACATTGTGCCTGCAGTTATATGTAATCTAGGTACTTATTGGAGTCAGGAACACCATCAAAAAAGTAAGTGGTAGACTACCAGTGGTTTTACACATTGTGCCTGCAGTTATATGTAATCTAGGTACTTATTGGAGTTAGGAATTAGAAAGTCAGATCCTTTAATGTACCTGTCTTCTAAGTGTGAATCAGCTTTAACAGATGGGCTTTTTGTTCTTTTCTCATCTTAGGGAGAAAAAAGGAGGCCGCAAAGACAAGCAGAAAGGGCAACAAAATGGTGAAACTAGTCCAACACACAATCCCATGCAGCCAGGAGAAAATGGAATTGAAAACCCTGACTTTAAAAATGTATGTGCCTTCACATTGTGCACTGTATTTTCAAAATTTGATGTAAATAGTTAATTGGATGAAAATGTCAACATATAATTTTAGAGGCAACTCTTTGTCTCAACCATATCAATGCACTGTTTGTGCTGGTTTCTCCCTCATTTTTAACATTCCTACTGTTTGTTTGTGTTCTATGTTTGTTAATAGGCTGCTGCAGCAGCTGATGATGATTGGAGTGTTGACACAAGTGATGCTGCTGTTCAAGAACGAATGGGTACTCTAACATCGGGAGTGAAAGGTTTGGCATTGACCAATGATACTGAAAAGCCTCAGGAGGAGCGCTTCAATATCTTCTACAACTTTGTCAAGGTAATAATGAACATAATAATGAATAGTATGGAATTCCCATGCTACAAGTTTCAGGATGTTTTTCAGTTAATGTTCTGCTCGCGAACATTTCTGCTCACCCTTGTGTCCTATAGAATGACTATTTTGTGTTAAAGTTTTTTCACTAATAACTGTTTTGGCATGTCAGTATTGTTAAATCAATTTACACTGTGCTACTGCTCTCTGCTAGGGTAATAGGCAAGATCAGCTCATCTATGCCACTCCATTTACTTTTTGTTTTACAGAAAAGGAAGGAAACTAACATAGACAAAAGTGTCATCGCAGAGATTGTTGCAGAAGCAGACAGGCTAGATATTAAGGATAAGGGAGTACTAGCTCTCAGTGAAGTTCTGTTTGACAAGAACATGCTTGAGGAAATCCCTAAATTTCGTAACCTGTTTCTTAGGGTGAGCTCTTTTGTTTTAAATTGTTATAATGCTCTGAAGATTTCTTTGCGAGGTTTCATTTAGAATTTGGAATTCAAATGAACCCATTTCCGCTTCTTAATAGTCATATTTCAAGTGTTTGACTCCCTTTGAGATGTTTTACGAGGTTTTGCCTTTTTCAGTGTAAATGACATGGCTTGCTTTTTCACCCATAATTTTTTTTAAATGTAGTTTCTAAATGGAAACCACAAGGCCCAGAAGTATATGCTGGGTGCATTTGAACTGCTTGTTGGACAGTCATTTCCTGCAGACCTGATGCCAAAGGCTGTTCGCATTCTAAAAGCACTTTATGATGCAGATCTTTTGGAGGAAGAAGTTATCTTGCAGTGGGGTGAGAAGGTAAATGAGCACAGATCATTACTCTCTTCCGGATACATAATTATATCATTCCATTTGAAGCCTTTAATTTTCCAATAGGTGTAGACACATACTGCTTAAAAACTGCTATGTATGGATTTAAAATTTTGCATTTTTTCCTGAAAATTTATTTTAGGGGCATTCAAAGCCAATCCTAATAGCGGTTTTGTTTTCTTTTCAGGTTTCTAAGAAGTATGTGAGTAAGGAGGTGTGCTCTCAGATCCATGAGAAGGTGGCTCCTTTCATTAAGTGGCTAAAAGAGGCAGAAGAAGAGGATTCTAGTGAAGAAGAGGAAGGAGAGGAAGAGATTGAAGTTGTCTATGACAACAAGGCTCAGCAGCTGAAAGCTCAGGCTGACAATAAAGTGGTCGAAGAGGATGATGATGACCTAGACATTGATGCTATTTAAATATCTCTCCTTCCTTGGATGGATATCAAAATATTTTTATTATTATTAAGCTTTTGTAGAACAAGGCTTGCTAGAAATCCATGTTTAGCTTACTTGGGTTTGTGTTTTTTGTGGTTTCCAATGAGGAATGCATATTGATAACATTGATTCAATATATTCACGGTTCATCTTAATGAAAATTTGTGGGTAATTTAATATTAAGGATTTTCATTGTGCATGGAAGAATTGTTTCTCACACTAGTGACTTCATAGTCCATTAAATTGTAAATCAGTTAGCATGTTGGATTAGAATGAGTTTGATGTAAGCTGGCAATCAATGAAAACAGCAATTTAAAGAAGCAATATGCCTGTTTTGTGTTTTCATTTCAATGAACTTTGAAAACACCCTTGGGAGAGAGTATTTTTGTTGACATTTTTTGTTAGAATCAAATATTTCTGTAAAGGAGATTCAACAATTTTTTTTTTTGACAACTGTAAGAGGTTGGTTTGTTCCACTTATAACATTGTCGAGCTCCAACTCACGAAATAAACAATCCATGACACTGAAAGTGTTTTTGTTTTTCAAATTACTTTTTATGTATGACGTTCAGTATAATGCTATTATTACATTATGTTTAAAAAGCACTACTTCAGAATCATTATGCTGAATATTGAACAAACGCTGCATAAAAGTTAATTACTCTCTGTAAAGTATTTACCAGTTATACTAAGATATCTTATGAATCTTCTCTCCCCAAAAACTCTGGTCTCTAGTATTCATGCTCTCTTAAAACTTGGCCAGAGTTGTGCCTTTTTGTCCCTCAGACTTTGTTACAAGTAGCTTTGGTACTTCAACAAGTTTCAAGAAGACCATTAACCTGTAGACCACTAAGGGTGACCAATATCTAGTTTCTCCTTACAATATCACCTCTAAATCACATTAAGGTCCCAAGAATAAAGGAAATGATCACAAATCAACTGTTAAAAACATCCTCTTGTCTGTACCTTGGGAAATGTTTGGGGAACAGTATGGGAAACCTGCACACTGGTTTTAAGGCAAAGGGGGTTAAGAATTTTACATCTGTTAACCCTTTAACTCCCACTAGTGGCCAAGACAGAATTTCTCCTTACAATAATGAAATATCAAACAGAAAAATTTCATCAAGGGGACCATAAGTTAATCCAATACCAAATTCTCCACACTAGCGTGATAAAAACTGTATAAAAAATTGTGAGGAGAATTACTGACAAGGATGTGAGAGGAAAAGGGTTAATGGTTTAATCTGCTCACAAAGTGGATCTTCTAGAAACAATTTATTTTTGACTCGTTAATGGCAGTTGATTCAAGTGCCACGACCAGCATTTCCCTTTGGTTTTGGCAACATCAGTCCAAAGAAGAAATCTTGTATTTCAGATGGTAGAAATGAGAGAGTTCTCCAAATGAGTTGGTGGTCCAGCCCAAGAACATATCTTAGTTTAGGATGTGTGGATGTCACTGCATGATCCATGGCATCAACCACTTTGAAAATGTTAAGTGAAAAAATATGACGTATGTCTCTTAACTTGGCTTTGGCTGATAATTTAAAAAGATCAAACCACATTAGTTGTATTACTGGAAGAGAAGCAACTCACTGCCAAAGAAGGAGCCAATAGTTGAAAAATTAAGGTTTTTCCACAATGGAAGATTTTAATATTCTTCACTTCATTTCATTTTACTTAGTTATACTGAGTCCTGCATAATTTTTTAGATTGGTGAGGGGTTAAATACTTCTAACTGAGCTTGAGGTCTGCAAATTTTGGATCTTGCCTTTTCCACTCAGTTTTAGGGCCGAGTTTAGGTGGCAGTACAGTCAAATACAGCCTGCTAAATTGACCAATTAGAATAACAAAACAGTTTTTTTGCAAACAGCAAAGCGAGCCAAAACATGCTACTACATCACTATAAGGCCTCACCAATCACAGTCAAGCTTTTCCCTGAGCATTCAATAATAATAACATGATTGCTAAACTTTTCCCATACCTTGTTCATAAAACTCCCCTCCATAACATTCTTTGGTATCTCCATCAAGGTTTTCCCATAATCTTTGCAGGTATTTGATGTTCTTCTCTGCATCTGTTATGGCTGTTTTAAAAATCCCTGGCTCAATTATGTGAACAGTGACTCCAAAATGCTTCATTTCATTGCGTAGCGCATCAGAAAAAGCCTCCACTCCAAACTTGGAGATGCAATAAGCTGCAGCAAAAGGAGCAGAGAGTCTCCCTAATGAACTGGCAACATTAACAACACGCCCCTTGGTTCTCTTTAGTAATGGAAGAAATGCTTTCGTAATATTCACCATTCCCCACAGGTTCACCTCCAAAGTCTTCTTCATTTCCTCCACAGGTTGCCATTCAATTGGTCCTGGGTATCCAATGCCTGCATTGTTTACTATAGCCCACAAACCTAGAATAATGCAGAAGTATGTTTTAAATAAGAAAAAATGGAATCTGAAAATAACGCTTTTAGTTGAACTTATTTCACCCATAATCAAGAGATAACATGTGCCATTCCACATTAGCCAGAGGTAAATATGGGAGGGGAGGCTGGGTAGCATGGTTTTAAGTCTTTCCCAAGCTTTTAAAGAAAATTAGTCCATCTTCTCACACTATTTTACACTGGATCCAAAAAAAATGTTCACAGATAAAATTTATACATGGTTTGTGGTAAATCTAACCTGTCCTCAGGTCCAGACAGCAAAATCTACCTCACATTCCAGACAATTAAGGGGAGAGGGGTGGGGAACCATACCAATACACACCTAAAATGCCAAAAAGCCCACTTAAGGGATTACCAGTATCTCCCCACCTACCCCACCCCTTTACTAATTTCCTGATAAATGTTTACCACTTGTCCACAGTCATCAGATGATCAAGTGCTCCAGTGATCTGACAAGGAGTAAAATCTTTAAAAAGTTTTTTAACATCATTCCCCATCTGAAAGTTGCTTGTAGTATTTCAGTTTATAAAAACAAAAGACCGATTTTTGTTTGTTTGGTTTGTGTCTGTGTTTTTTTCCGTTTTTCACGAGTAAGCATGGAAAGATTTTCAAAACCCTCGAATCAGTTAAAAGTAAACAATTATTTACAATGGAAACAGTCACCTTACATAGACACACAATACATAAATTAAGTCTCATCCAAATTTCATCAGCGATGTTAACTTAGCTAATCCTTGAAGGAATGAACAAGATTCAATCCAGTTCGATCGATGAAATACCTTGAGAAGGCAGGTGTGATTTGACGGCTTGTAAAGCGTATTGAATATCCCTTGGCTTGGTAACGTCCAGTTTTAGTGTGATAAGCTCCGGAGAGCATTCATTTTTCAGCTTTGCCTCTCCTTCAGAAGTGAGACAAGCAGCGAACACTCGTAATCTCTCCGCATCTAACTTCTTGGCTAACTCATAGCCGAATCCACTGTCGCAGCCAGTGATAAACACGGCTTTCTTCTCCAGATGCGAGACCCGTACATCGCCAAAAAAGGAACAAGTGATGTACAAAGTTAGGACAAGAGCAATCAGTAAAAGGGTACCTTGAAATGAGAACAAAACGCTTAGCAGCAAGAAGTCACTAACCATGGCGAGCGGAGAGTAATTTCAACACTACGGCCCGCTTGAAAAGTCACGATAGGTAACGCAAGAAGTCACGCGGCCTACCGAAACATAATTGACACGCTTCGAAGTTTCGTCAAGGATTGTCACAAGGTTCGCATTTGTGATCCTTGTCAGTCTCCGCCCTTATCATATTTAAGCTTCTTCATTCTTCTTTGGTTTCTATTTACCCTTAGCAAACAATTTTGATTGAAGGGGGAAGTTTATGAAGAAACTGTGGTGCTGCATCGGTGAGGGGTTTTACAGGACAGTTTGTAGTTATCAACTGAATTGATAATGTAAACTGGCACGGTTAAAAGTCCAAGTGTATTCGTACCCTCCCCCCAGGGTGAGACTAAAGCCAGTAACGACCGTAAACTTTATTACGCTGTTTTTATCATCATTATTATCATCATAATTATCACCATTATTATCACTATTATCATTAATTTTTTTTTCAGATCGATCGGGGACAATAATCAAAAAAATCCGTTCAATTCATTGTACTTAACACTTTGGACTCGATGACCTGTGTTGTGTTCTTATTCTTCAGAAGAATGTGACTGATTTAAAGCTCGTTAAGGAAATGGAAAGGATTACGAATGCTTTGCGGGCGGATAAATTTCCTAGAAATAATAATGATAAGAGCCGCGAGCAATTCTGTTGTCGAACAGACAGTGTACTCTGTCTCTTTGAAGATCGCATGAACACTCATTTATGTTCTGTCAGTAAGGACAAAGTCAATAAATGAGAATTTTGTCTATTAAAAATTACGCCCATTGTTGTTTTTGTAATCAAATGCATTTTCCCATGTTTACTTTGTCCTTACCGACAGAAGAAATCTTTCAGATGTAAGGCCAAAATCGGCCCGCAACAAATCTTCCAGTAGTCGATTTTCGTTCTCAGCCGCGAGAAAAGCCATTACCAAAGCTACTGTATACGTAACTTTTGGTTTTTCTTTTCGTATTTTGGTTTTTTTCTCTTTCTTCGAAAGTTTGAGCGTCATTGTCTATAGGCGATACGGATTTTTCAGTGTTTTGGCAGCCATAATCCGAGAAAATTCCGACAAAAAGTAAGGGCTTTGCCGTTCCTTCATGAACCCGACCGAGTGACGTTCTGCAGCTGATTGGCGATATCAAACATATGCGAAAAAAAACGATATTTTTTCACGTGTGTCGTTGCGGCTTTTCGCAAGGATAGAAATCCTTATATAACACATTAGTTAATATGATAATTAAATATCGACTTAACCTCGATCAAGGGAAGGATCAAGCTCAGCCGACGTGGTCGCTGCCGCTGACGTCTGCTAGGAATCGGGCTTCTGATGTACATTCATCTTCGTTGCCGTCCTTATGAGACAGCGGCTCGTGATTTTGCTTGCGCTTTTCTGAGAGTCGTCGATGGCTGCCTCACTACCTAACAACGACGATAAAAAGTGGCTTATTTTCGAAGACGACATGCCTATCGATGATTTTCTGAAGAGGAACCCACCATCACAGATCGAGGGTTCCCAGTATTCGTATCTCTGTGTGCGCCATTCTGACTTCTCAAAGATAAAATCTCCCGATGAAGCTTCTCTACGTAAAGAATGTGACAGTCACATAGAAAACTTTGGCGAGATGACCTCAGATTACATTCTACAGTTGGCCGAGAAATACGACTACAAAACAAGAAAATGGCTGATCCACCCAGAAAGGTAGGGAAAGAACCGACACGATTTTAGTAGCTGCAAGTCAAAGGATAAAATATGTAAGCTCGCGAACAACGCTTAGTTTCTCCTAGCAGGGCTTTCAAAGAGTTTGAAAAAAGGAAGGGAATAATAATTAGTTGGCTACCGAATTAAATGCTGGGAATAATTAAGTCAAAATGTCCCAGGTGTACAACAAAGTTTGCTAGAACCTTCTGAACGTGGAATCGATATGTAATATTCGTCTACAGTATCATTTTGCCGATTAAACACACGGTCTTCTCGTCGCAGCAGCTGTTCTCAGTTTTATCGTCCGTTAACCCGCTTGTTGAACGCGATGGTTATCTTGGCCGCGGAGTCTTCAAACTCACTTCAACGTTTTGTTGGCATCTTAAGTGCTTACTGATCTATTGGCTGAGTTGGTTGATAACCCTCGGCATGGAGCTGTGACAATTTTTATGCTGTGAAGAAAAAGTTTCCACGAATTTTTTCGGGGTAAATTTGGTTTTTAGCATCTCCTTTGTCGTAATTCGGGACGGTGTGCTAGACCACTCAGATTTGATCAGCGGAGAACGATACCTCACGATCAAATACACTTTCGCACACAACGAAATGCTCACTGTTCGAATCCTGTTAGTAATAATTTATTCTTTCGTTTCCACTCCAAACTGGGAAATGTTTGCAGTTCAAGATTTTCGATCGTATGTCAATTATCGATCGTTTTTTTCAACAGCGCTTATTTCGAAAGGAGGTAAACATATTAAGGCATCTATCAGCCGAATGTGACGGATACTATCGCTCATGTTGTTAATCGATGGACATGTCAACGAATAGTCAGCCAAATGTCGGTCGCCATGTTATTTGAGTTAGTAGACCGTCAGTCGCCACTATACTTGGTCGGTATGTCGGTCAGCATTCAGCCAACATGTAGACCGATAGTATCAACTGATTCTTGACCGACAGGCAACAGATGCCTACTCATGATCCAACTAGTTGATGGGCTTGGCTAGCTACTGGCTCTCATTTATAGCCCTGTTATTCTGCCAATATGAGCAGCTCTAATGTCTTGAAGTAAACATTTAAGGGTAATCCTTCACTGGTACGAAACATGAGACCCTAGTAAATGGACCTTTATATGTTAGTGCTACCTTAAGACAGCCTTGTAGCATAACTTTTTTCAAATGGTTCTTTCTCCATCAATTTATAATAGCTATGGAAGCGCGTCGCAAAAGCAGTCGGCAATGGTAAGCTTGGTTATGCCGCAAAGGTCAGCGGAAAAAGCCATGAAGATAACACGCATGTGATCAGCGTGCACACTGAGGATTTTACCAATGAGAACAACGTGAGGAAAGTCGAGGAAAACCTCCGAAAAGAAGGCATCACTGAACCAATGACCTACAAGTTAGACATCTACACAACGTTGGGGATCTATCGCTACAATCCTTGGAGACTGAGCCCAACAGTGTACAGCAGCCATAGTTAGTTGATAACGAAGAATGTCTACAGCCATACACACTTTAAAGGAGACCGTACTGCCCTTGAACTGATGAAGATATCTTTTCTTGTGGAGATTCCTTTGAACGAAAGAGAAACAAGAACCAAAATGAATTAAAACTAGAGACAAATAGAAACAATTTACTGATAGGCGTCATTTTGGATCGTATGACGTCATACAGGTACCACCATATATTATCACCAAACAAAAGCTCTTTCGTTTGGCAATCAACTGCAAAGCGTCACCTGATCCAACATGGTGACGCACGCAAAATTCCAGTTTCAAAATAGCCAATATATGTTTCTATTTTTCCCTCACTAAAGGTGAAAGTTGGGAGGGTACGGCTACACATAAGCTATACCGTTCAGAGTTTCTGAAGCTGACTTTTCGAGCATTGGCCCTTTGGCAGAGCGAATAGGAAGGGCTAACGAAGGGCTAACGCTCGACTAACCGTCAGCTTTAGAAACTCTCTACTGTGGCCAATCAAGTCAGTTAATTAAAACATTCTTACTATTTGGACAATTCAATGTCCTTGAGCTTTGAACTGTTTGTGAAAATTCTGAGCTTTGGACCTCCTGGGAAACTCAAGGCATCGCGAGCGCGTGACAAATATTGAAAGCCAATAATAATCAGGGGAGGGAGGGATTGTACGGATCACAACGTTGGTGCGAAAACGGTTTAAGTTCACTTGGTTCCAATGGCCCAGAATAAAGAATTGTTCCACGCTTAGCGTGCCTATGTCGAGTTATGAATGTACACGGGAAGTTTGGAGAGCACGAGAGAAGCGTAAGAGCTACTCTCCAAATTTGCGAAGTGCATCCATAACTCGATATATGCACAGCTTTTACGCACGAACAAATTCTTCTGTAACATAGCATGCAGACACAAGTTGTGTTCGAAAAAAAAGAGTTTACTACAACCTTGTCGGGTCTACCAGATAATCATGTTACAACCGAAAACTATGAATAAATAACAAGGCAAAAAAGACGAAAAAATATTTCGTGAATAAATCTTTATCAAAAGAATTTTGAATTTTCTCCTCAGAAGCGAGATATGAGCGAATTTCTTGCATGTACGAGACTATGTAGTAGATTCAGCATAAGCGAAGGATCGAGCATAGCTGAGGTGGCCGCTGCCGCTGACCTCTGCCTCAAATGCGATGTATTTCTCTTCAATGAAGTCCTAGGAGACAGTGGCCTGTAGTTTTGCTTGCGCTCTGCTGTACGTTGTCGATGGCCGCATCGCGACCTAACAAAGACGATGGAGAGTGGATTATTTACAAAGGCGACATACCAATCGATGATTTTCTGGAGAGAAACCGACCAACACAGATCGAGTGTTCCCAGTATTCGTGGATCAGTGTACGCCATTCTGACTTCTCAAAGATGAAATCTCTCGATAGGGCTTCTTTGTTTAAAGAATGGGAATGTAACATGGAAAACTTTGGCAAGATTACCTCAGATTATATTCGACAGTTGGCCGAGGAATACGATTACAAAACAGGAAAATGGCTGATCTACTCAAAGTGGTAGGGAAAGAACCGACACGATTTTAATAACTGCAAGTATTTAAGCCAATGAATGAATCTTAGTTTCTCCTATCAGGCCTTTCAATGAGTTTGAGAAAAGGAAGGAAATAATAATTAATAGGCGGCCAAACTGGGAAATGTTGGCAATTCAAATTTTTCGATCGTGTGATAATTATCGATCGATTTTTCACAAGCACCTATTTGAAAGGAGGTAAATATATTAAGGCACCTGTCGGCCGAGTATCAACGGATACTATCGGTTGACATGTCGACCGAGAGTTGGTCGATAATCAATGGACATGTCGACCGATAGTCGACCGATAGTCGGCCGACTGTCGGTCGCCTCGTTGTTCAACCGACATGTAAACCGAAAGTATCGACCAATTCTTGACTGACAGGTGATAGATACCCTAAATACTCATGATCCAACTAGTCAACGGATTTGGCTGGTTACTGGCTTTCATTGATAGCCCTGTGATTCTGCCAATATGAGTACCTGTAATATTTTATGTAAACAGTTAGGGATCAACCTTGAATAGAACGAAACGTGACCTTAGTAAATGGACCCTTCATAAATCAGTTAAGGGGGTAAGTTTCTAAAGAGACTATAACGGGGTAATTCAATATTATCAATAATGAACTGAGTTGATAACGTAAATTGGCCACCGTAAAGAGTTCAAACGCTGTCGTTTCGAACGTTAACCCTTCGTCAGAGCGATTGGAGGAATTGTGGGTGGTGTGTTTGTTTACTGTGATGGAAAATCCATTTTTTATCAACTTACGATGGCTGCTGTTCACTGTAGGCCTCAGCCTCCAAGGATTGTTGCGATAGATCTCTAACGTTATGTAGATATCTGGCTTGTAGGTCATTCGTCCAGTGACACAAACCCCACAATTCCTTCAATCGCTCTTATGAAGGGCTAACGCTCGAAACGTCAGCTTTTAAACTCTTTACGGTGTTCAACTTACGCTATCAACTCAGTTGATAATAACTAATTACCCCGTTATATTTCAGTGCTACCTTAAAAGAGCCTTGTAGCATGACTTTTTCAAACGGTTCTTTTTCCATCAATTTATGATAGGCCAGCGATTGATAACGTATGGAAGCGCGTCGCAAAAGCAGTCGTTGCTGGTAAGCTTGGTTATTCCGCAAAGGTCAGCACACATGACCCTGAGGAAAACGCACATGTGATCTGCGTGTACACTGAGGATTTTACCAATGAGGACCACGTGAGAAAAGTCGAGGAAAACCTCCGAAAAGAAGGGATCACTGGACGAATGACCTACAAGCCAGATATCTACACAACGTTGGGAATCTATCGCAAAAATCCTTGGGGGCTGAGGCCTACAGTGTACAGCAGCCATCGTTAGTTGATAATGAAGAATGTCTACAGTCATACAAACTTTAAAGGAGACCTTACTGCCTTTGAACTGACGAAGATATCTTTTCTTGTGGAGATTCCTTAGAACAAAAGGGAAACAAGAACCAAAATGAATTAAAACTAGAGACAAGTAGAAGCAATTTCCTGATAGGCGCCATTTTGGATCGTATGACGTCATACGGGTACCACTATATATATTCACCAAACAAAAGCTCTTTCGTTTAGAAATCAACTACAAAGCGTCACCTGATCCAATATGGCGGCGTGCACAAAATTCCAGTTTCAAAATAGCCAATATATGTTTCGATTTTTTCCCTCATTAAATACACCATTCCACTTTAAGGCAACAAATTTTAACGTAAGTAAATAATTTTTCGTACTTTGCAAAAATCAGGGGCTCCTGAGACAGTTTGTTACAGCGGTGAAGTTGTTCCTCATAAAAAAAATGTGTGCTGGTTTGGTTCGAAATGAAGAAACAAATTCTTTCAGCCATGCTCATTGAGCCTTTCGTTTCGCGTCACCACCATTTCTTGATAGCCTATCCCAGACTTTCAGTCCGAGGTGACGAGTGGTTTTCGAGGCATCGGCCCTCTATTATTTTTTTTTTACCAGTCACACCCCTGAAGTTGAGGCTTTAAAAGTTAAAAACAAATAAAGAGGCAATGGAAAAAAGGTTTTTCTTGTATCCCTATTACTTTAGAAAGTGAGGGAGAAAGGGGTGGTTAGTCGAAGGGGGAGCTTGTTTGAAAATATGGCCTGGGTATGGGCGCTTATTCGGGGGAGGGCGCTCCTTAAAGGCTGGACGTTCATTCGAGGTAATACGGTAGTCACGAACGCTCGACTACCAGCCGCTGTTCAGGAAGTGAGCCTGTGCTCCTTCTCTGAACAGACGGTAGTGGGCATCCGCAAAAAACTTCGGAAATTGAGCCGAATCACTCACGCCGTGTTACTGCAAACTAAACCGAGTGGAGAGAAGAAAGGTGGCAGTCGGGAAGAAAAGGGAGCGCCACGGTATTAGACTATTACCTCAGTGCATGCCAATTTTTTTTTTTTAGTATTTTCAACATTTTCCACTAAGAATGAGCACATCCACAATACCCCTCCCTTATCCCCAGTCCCCCACGCTGCGCCTCTGCAAGGCTTTGGTTACTAAGACGAAAGAGTTGCTGAATAACTATCATGAACATTTTGGGACGCAACATTTTCATCCTCTACCTGATTACTGCGAGAGCAAATTCCTTTGACACTGTTCATAAGTGTTTTCAGTTTGTCGGTAAATTTCTTTACCCGGAACAGGACGAACAACAAAAACGCAATCACTAAAGTTAACCACTGTCTCATTTGAGCCTCACTTAGTCCAAACCAAACGGTAACCTTGATCGCCGCGAGTAAATAAGCGGTTGCAGTGATGGACAGAAGGAGTAAAATTGAATACAATGATTTTTTGCGAGCCTTTGAGCTTGGAGAGTGCTCTTGCGTTGGAACTCGCGCTGTGTGCCGGACTTGTCGCGGGTGTTTAAGCCTTTTGAGATTTCTAAGTGATAATGCTCCAAAAATGAGAATTATTACTACGAAAAAAGGAACAACGTATTTCGGTAGGGCTTCCTCGGTTTCCCTTGCATAAACTTTTCTGTAGTGAAAAGCCGTTGATTTCCCAATATCGACGTGGTAGACTGGGAGGTAAACAGACAAAGTGATTGTCAAGATAGCAAACCACTTGAAAGAAGTAACCGCTATGATTTTCGTCCAGGACTTTTTCGCTTTGTATGTAACGGGGAAAGATATGGCAAGGTACCTATCCACCATTTGTAACATCAGGGTGGATAGAGAATTCAGGATGAAGAAACTATGGAGAAACGAGAGAGCCCACACAAACGATTTAACATGAAATCTTTTAAGGACTACGAAGTGGATGGACAGAGGAATGTTGACGACGCAGTTTAGAAAATCGACCACAGCAAGATCGGCGATGAGGGCGTCATGAACTGTTCGAAGAACTTTGTAGCGGAAAAGTGAGAAGAACAACAAAACATTTCCCTTAATTGCTGCAATTAAAAAGCTGGTGTAAAGAAAAATCTGAACTGCACCTTCCATTTCTGAAATAAAGTGACTGTTATTTTTCTGTGACACTGATATTTTTCGGTCGTTAACAATCCTGTCTACGCGTATTAAAAAAAAAACGTTTTACGCTGTTGTGAAAAACGATCATGCGAAGTGCATGAGTAAGGTCTTTTAAAGCAGTCGTAGACGCTAAAAGAAAATTATGATTAATATACTCATGGGCATGAAATAAAAGAACCTCAAAATGACAAATAATTTGTAATCAAGGTAAAAGGTGGTATGGAAAATTAAAAAAGCTTTGAATAGAGTAACATAATTATTAAAGCCTTCATTTATTACCGTGGACAAAGATTTGTCAAAGAAGTGGTAAGAATGAAAAAGAACAACAACAGATGGGATTTTTTGATCAAAGGAATATGAAGTTTCTTCTGTTAACAGTGACATTAATGAAGACATTTTGATCGAACGATTGGAGTACACGTCAGCCCTATTGTTGAATAAATTTTAATGTCTTTGTTCTGGGATTTCAGGTCATGAACTTCGAGCAAAAAAATCGCTAACTAGCGCCGGAAATTGAAATAACACCTTGAAGTTACTTAGCTAATTCCGAAAACGTTTATCTTAATTCATGAATCATCTCAATTAGTGTCAGATAAATGCCTTTTAATTCAGACGGTCTCTTTTTCTAGTGCCTCCAAATAGCCTCTGCATGTGGGAGAAACGTGTGACAAATGGATTTTCTGCGGGTACCCAGCCTCTCCATATATGAATGTGATTAGTTTATCAGCCCAGTCGGCCTGTGTCCAGGCTCCCAAACTCAACTAAGATATTCCCCGTGAAAATTCTGATCTGCTTATGTGACAAGGTAGGTTACCTTGGTTACTGAGGTCTAGGTCAGGCTATAGCTGTTTGAAGGTGAATGACGCTATCCACCGGATAAATAACTCTCGGGTGGATAGAACTGAACGTTTGTTGGCGAGTAATAGCTGAGCCGTATGATATTGACTTAAGGTTAGGATCTAGCCCCTATAAACATTTAACATTTTCCATTTGAATAGAAAACAGATATCTCGAAATTTGATTAGCTATTACTAAGCAATTTCCAGGATAATGTTATTTTCCTCTTGCGCAATTTCTTTTGTACTTCGATCGAAAGCCAAAAAAAAAGGGATTTCATAATAGCGAGTTATTTGTTACGGGGAGTTGTTATTAAAGGGGGTTTATTACAAGAAGTGGCAGGAGTCCTCCAAATTTCTTTGTGGGGGGGAGCTTTTCAAGAACGGGGATTTCATCATATTGGTGATTTATTCGTCAAAGCCGGAGTTCGAATTAACTTTCAACGCGGGCAATTTCGTCTGAACGGCGGCTTATTATAAAATCTATGAAAAGAATTTCGTCACACGGATAGCTCGTTATGTAAAGAGAAGCTTGTGAAAGCGAGTCCTCGTTCCAAACGTTATTGATACTGAACTTTATCAATGATTACAAATTAGGTGAGGATCGATCATTTCGCTATGGATTGTCACTGTGAAAAGATTATTAGACACTATCCGTCAATTACTTGAAGAACTGTCAAAAGTATGAAGCATAACCACGGTAACTGGGCAAAAAATTGAATACACATCGTGTTTCTTCACCTGCCTGATAAAAACAGAAACTTTAACTATATGAAGATCAAATTGTTTCCGAATCATGATGAAAATATTTTCATTTCTAGGGGACACATGTTCGTCGCATAAACATCACATACATCAATGGAAATTATAGAGCTACTTTATTTTTCATAAGAGTCGTATGCAATGAGTCCGGCCGTATTCAAAATGCACAACTGCATTCATGCAAAACGTTTATACAATGTGTTCACTAAAATGCCTAGCTCTGCAGGCAAAATCGCTCAAACGCCCCTGCTTGAAATCAGTGAAAATTACATTATAAAAACGTACCCGTCTGGTAATATTCAGACCAGTGTTTTAGAGATTTCACAAAGTATCTCTAACTTCTGCCTTTTAACAACCTAGAGTTCTTTTTAATGCCTCGCGATAATTGCGATGGCGATAAAAGTAAATGCAAGGATTCATGGCAGAATTTGCGAATCTGAGTGCGGTCAGCCAAAAGTCTAACGAAGAGAGCGAAGCGGAATCCAAAAGGGGATTTTTAAGCCTTGCTAGAACTGAAGGAGTCCAACAAAACGCGAACAACAGGACGACAAAACAAACGGTTTTCGCAACTTGCTTGTTTCTCTGGTGCAGTACAGAATTTTGGCCACCATTATGACTTTGGTTTATGTCTGATACACTCGAAGAACTCTTAAACACCTTGACTATGGCGGCAATTCCAGTGCCGATGATCACGACCACACACAGTTTATGAATAGAAGATTCTACATAAAGAAACTTCGCGTGCCAAATTGAGCGCCTGGAAAAAAGCAAAACCATAATTGTAACGGAAACCAACCACACTACAACAATCATAACTTTTAGTTTCCTAAAAGTCATAAAGAATTTATGTTTTAAGGGGTAGTAAACAGCGAAAAAACGATTAAAACTCAGACAAGCTAGAGCTATAAGTGAAGCATCGATGGACATGTGAAAAATTGCCGCACCAATGTGTATGCTGAGCGGAGCGAGATGAAAATTGTAGAATGAACTCTGGGTTATGGCATAATTAAACAGAGAAATTCCAGTGGATGACGCGATGAAATCAGCTACAGCGAGGTTTGCAATCTGAATACCATAGATGTTTCTTAAGCCTGGTGTCCGGCAAATTACCAGAATGACAAGAAAATTACCAATCGATCCGAATACAGACACAGTCCCATAGAAAACACCGCCGGAAATTTTCTCGGTAAACCCAAGTTCTGCGCAAGACGCTTTATATGAAGGAATTAAAGTTTCGTTTGTTGAATTGCTCAGAACAAATGTTAAGTTTTCCATTGCTGATGTTTGCGGTTCTGTTTCACAGCCGACCGAGAGCGCTTTTCAACGCAATTCCGTATCTGAATCCAGCCAACTGCAAAGTACCGTACACACGCGCTCAAATCTGAGAGCTTTGTAGTTCCCTTAACCAGTACTGCAAGCAAACTGCAGCTTTGCAATGTATCACAGTTAAGGATGATCAAACAGGAGAAAAACAAGTAATCTTTTCAAGTTAAGCCGTAGGGGATAGATGAAATACACCTAACAGCCGTCCCGTCCAAACTCAGCTTTTGTCAGTTTACGAGATGCTCTTGTTTCGTCTTGTCTCAGGTTTCGTAACCAGAAAATAAAGACATTTCTAACTTTGGTTTCTTGAGAACAGTTCAAGCCCGTTAGATTATTTGTGAGAATAAGCGTGACTTAATGATATTTTGATTCCATTTGGAATAGACAAAACGGAGAAAGATATCCCAACCTGTTTGAATTAAATAACACCAGTTTGATATAATTTGCATATTAATTATTTTTTAACTTTTCACATGTTCTAAGTAAATTGCGTACGCCTAACACATTTGCATATTTCGTTTTGATCTTGAGTTAAAGTGTTGAATAAAAAAAACGAAAACGATGACTTTAAAAAATTATTCTATGAGTCGGTGAAAGTTCTAAACACCACTTTATCACCGAAAAAAAAAATTCGAATAGGCACCCTGTTCGTATATGATTTTGCCTTCTTTAACCACGCAGACTTATCTAGTTCTTTAACGTTGACACATTTCAAACATGCGTTTTTTTTTTACTCACATTGCATTATTTTCTAGTTCCCTCTGTCATTTTCCCTTGATAGCGTGCCAAAACAACAAGAAAAAAAAATGGCATAATGCACGACACTTTTCACGGACCAAGAGTCTCAACTGAAATTGATCAACGTTCTCTTATTCTCCAAACGTCTGCAGCTAGGTCCGTCAGAGCAGATTCTTGACGGACGAGTTCCATCTACAAACACTAATTTACATGAATTTTCATAAAAAACTATTTTTCCTGGTTCTGGAGTTAGCACACGCAAAACGTGTGTTTTTTTCAATTGGGGATCCGACACATAAAATGTCCGGTTTTCTAAAATTTCCATCGAAAGTTCATTCACTGACATTCGATGCCTCCTTAAAATTAAGCTGGTTGTAAATTCCACCTGTTCAATTGGAAAATGAATTTGGAAAGTTCAGTCTCTCTTGGCGCTGACGCGAACCCACTAACACAAAAATATACAAGAAAACAAAAACAAAAACAAAAACAACACATGGCAAAAAAACTAAAAAAATAACAAAAGACCATACAGTGAGCGACTTGACGTTATTGGCTTCAAAGACTGTGAGCATGGCCTGTGTGCACGTTCTCGAAGTTGCCATGCCGACGAATATTGACGTGTGTCCAAATACGTTTGGAAATATGAGTGACATGTGCGCTCAACGCTTTTTCTCCGCCATTCAAACTGGTGTTGAAGCGAAGCTCTTTCTGTGATATATCAAGTGAACTGGGTCCCAAGGGCCAGAGGCCACGTTTCATGACGTCATGGTATAGACAAAAATGTTTTTTGCTCGGAGTTAATTGAGGGAAATTTCACCTCTTAGATCATTTGACTTCATTTTTCCTGACCGCCTAGTTACTACCACAAGTAAAACTGCATTTGCAAAATATTTGGGCCCCTTTCGATATTACGCATGTATTACTGACTTTCAAGTTACAAAGTGGATCAGTTTAAACTTAGTAACTGAATCAGGCGACTCGTTTTTTTTTTCAAAAATCATGGTAGATCGCACATCGTTCCATTACACCAAAATTTAAGTCATCGTAACGGTCGACTAATAAAGAGATTCACACTGAATTCAAAGAAGGCCATGAATATCCAAAGTAAAGACAACCTATTATTCATCACCTAGTTTGGGGAGGGAGGGGGTAGGGTGGAAGTATTTTGGTATTTTGAGCAAACTTACCTAATCCTTCCCCCATAAGACTTTCCCATATTCTTACAATCCCGTTTGCCACTCATTGGCGGTTGATAAGCCGCCGATTTTCTATAGTCCCTCGTTTATACTCTGTTGGCGACGGCCAATCCCCCATTGCTCCCCCTGAAAACCATGTGATCCCTAAAGAGAAGGGAATTAACATCAGTGCAAACCCGGATTCCTTTCGACACTCTGCTAAAAAACTCCTCTTTAACCTTTACACCCAAACATCAGTATGCATATTCTCCACACTGTTCTCTACACGTTCCCTAAGTTGCTGACAAGGAGAACTTGTTTAAAAATCAAGAGTTTTTTTAGTTAGTGATCATTTCCTTTATTCTCGTTGACCGTATGTTTGATTCAGGGCTGATATGGTAGGGAGACATCAGATGCCAGTCACTCTTAAGCGTTAAAGGGTCAAGACGCGTAGTGTTATTTGCATCCCATACAACAAAACAATTTCAACGATCATGCTAGAGTTTAAATTTTTTGGTACGTCACTGCATTGGATAAATACATGAAACATTGAGGAACACGGAAATCGTCAACACTGTGATGGAACATAAATAATATTTCCATACAATAGGTGAACGCTTCTACAGCAAAATGGTTGAATTTGAAGTTTAAATAATTCCGCATTTTACTTAAAATTGCATACAGTTCACGGAATTAATCATTCTTTTTATCCGACACGACTTCAGCACCAGTTGTTACAGCGCCATCTTCAGAAGGTTTTGCTTCATTTGGGTCTGCTGTGTCAGTGTTATCCACAGGTTCACCAGTTAGGCCAAATTCATTGACACGTTTCGGGTCGATGGGATAGATCCATCGCTGGTACAAGTAGATGAAGAAAACAATATCTGTGATGGAAACATAACAAATAAAGCTGAGTTCAACTTCATTGACAATTGAGTCGAGTTTTCAACACAAGAAGAGAGATTACATATCTGTAGGCAACCATGTAATATTTTGTTTACTAATATAAACACAATAGTCCTTTTCTGACAAGGAAATTCGACAGACGGCCTTAGATTTAGAATGGTGAACATTTTGCTCTTCATTCATCGACCTGCCGGAGCGGCGCGAAAGGCGAGTGTTGTGTCAGCAGCTGATTGGCGATATCAAACATGCGTAAAAAATTATCGTAATTTTACACAGGTGCTGTTATGGATTTTCTCAAGGCTGGAAATCCTTGTAACACACCGCAGTTTATTTAATAAATAGGACTAATATGATTGTATGCTTATCAGAGAACGTTTCTCGAGTTTTCACTGCTACAAAAAAGGTCTTCTTAGTTCAGTTCACCTTGAAAATAACTTACCATCTCTGAAGCATCCCAAGCGGTATAAAGTTGGCATTTTGATGACAAAAGCGAAAAGATCATCGATAAAGGTGTTCAGAGCCTTGTAGGTCATCATGCGCCAAGGAAGGTGAGCCACAGATTTTAGCTTATAATTGATAAACAGCTGCGGTGTCATCATAATGAATCCTGAGGAGATATTCAACAAGGGTACACAATGAACACTTAACACCCCAACATCAGTATGCAAGTTCTCCATACCGTTCACTATACATTTCCTGTAGTACTTAGAAGGAGAATTTGTCTAATAAATTTCCTTCATTCTCATGACCTTCAAAAACTCATTAATAATTCATAAGCCATTAACCTATCAAATGGTAGATAATACATCACGTGCAGTGACTTTATATCGATAAACCTCATCCTTATTAGTATGCGGTGTTTTATCAGATATAAAGACACTGCACGTGACTTATGAATATTAATTAATTATCAACAATGTTTTTCTCGTATGCTAATTTATAACGTTCACAAAAGCATAATTGTTATGAACTCTCTTGACACACGCTTTTCCAAGAATGTTTTTGAAGCCGTTCAAAAAACTCGCAGCACGTGTTTTATCGGGTCAAAAACCACTCGGCTACGCCTCGTGGTTTTAAACCCGATAAAACACTCCTGCTCGTTTTTTAAACATTACTTAATGTTTGATTTAAAGGTGACACTGATGAGAGAACTTAAATGCTTATCACTTTTAGAGGTTAAAAAGTTAAATTTATTGGCAAAAATCTCAAACTGAAAACTTTTAAATGATGTCTACAAGGTAGGATTAAACTTTTGTTTCATAACAGAAACCTCGTCTCCAAAGTTGCACAAAGAGGACGCTCAGTTAAAACGGTCTAAAATCAAATATGGAAAGTGCTAAGCATTGGTTTTGCTTTCCTTCGCTGAGTTGTTGGTGTAAAAAGTTTGCGCCACAATTATAATCAATCAGACAGATCTAACAGCAATTGCAACTTGATCATTGGTGTATACCCGCACACTTGAAGATCCGCCATGTTTGAAGGAATTAAAAAATCTCTTAGTTCTAACTTTTTTCTTGTAGTACTTTTCTTAACTTCCTTTTTGTTTTCAAAGGCCAATGAGTTCATGTTGGTTTTAGTCTAAAAAAGAAGTGACCTATTTGTGATGAACATTACCTATGTTGCTTGGCCTGTGCTAAGCGCACACTTCCTACAACAAAGCGTTCTGACAAAAGTCACGATGGAAGCAACGGCAAGAAAAAACGAAAGGTAGTCTGGGTCGGGTTGAAAAAAGGGGGGAAGTTGGGCCGGTTATTCGTCACGACACCAGACCCAAGCTTCCCTCCTTAATTTGCTTCGCCGCTGTTATCGCGCCGTTCTACTAGTGCGCTATTTTAAACCAACTAAACGCCAGGAACAAGCTTCTTTACCAAAAGGAAAACACTTACCAAAGGTCAGAAGGAAGCCATAAAGCATGCTGAGGACCCAGGAATACCAACCCTTGTGTTCAACGTATAACAGTGAATATACTGCGTAACAGACCAACAACGGAAATAGCGCCCACGACAAATACTTGAACGCCATCTGAGAAGCAAGTATGGGAAACAAAACTATTAGATCAGCTCCACAATAGTTCAGACATTCAAATTACTGTGGAGGCTTTTTAAAAGAACAACATCTTAGTATGTTTTAGTAGTTTGTTTGACAAGGCTTATCCCGTTTCCTTAGCAAGCTTCCTTGATCTGTTTTAGCCTGACGATGGATTTAACTTTCAAGGGAACAACAAGACCTCACCAGTATGCATTTATTCTTCTCGTTTCAACTGAAAAATGAAATGAGAGAGCCCCCTTACCATGTCGTACTGTTTTGTTTCCGACTCCACGTACGTTTCTTTGTCATCAAAGCGAATTCTTGGTATAACACCAAACCAAGGATTTTCTCTATCCACCTAAAAATCAAAGTATATCAGTTATCAAAGGAGACAAACAACTCTCTTCAATCAATAGGCCATTTTACGGTTGTGTACTTAGTTGCCAAGCCTTTGATTTGGAGTGAGGCTGAAGGTGACCATGATGTGATAGAGACCAGTATCTAGTTAGCATGATAACAAAGTAATTTACATTTGAAAAGCAGTAAGGTTTGTATCATAACAGGGTTACCCTTAGCCTCACTCCTGTTCAAAGGCTTGGCAACCAAGCACACAACTGTAAATTGCAGCATTAGCTATCTCAAAAGCTCTATATAATTAAGACGACTGTCGGCCGGTACCTATTCCTACTCGTTGCCTAGGAACACAACTCAGTGACCAAGCCCAGGCTATCGGATCACCAGATGGTACGGTGAAACTGATTTTTTTTTTTGCTTTAAGTGTTCCTCTTTAAGCAAATAGGCAGAGAAAATAAGCGCATTTATTGAGAACAGTCGTTGTGACAATATCAGCACATTCCTTTAAATCTGGAACACTTACCTTAACGTCAACGGCTTTGTTGATTTTCCAAATTTCTATCAAAAGTCCCACAAAACAGCTGATAATCACAACAGTGTTGGTCTCATTGTCCATAACGTACAAGAGAACAATCACAGACTGGAATACATTGAAGAACACGGAACGCACAGACAGGCCTTCTAAAGTCTTCCGGCTTCGCCAGAATTGGATGTCTGAAAGCATCAAGAAGAGATTAAATGGAGAGAAAGGAAGGAGAAGAAAGCCGAGTGCTCTAAAAACTGCACAATTCCTGCACTTTGAGATTTAATTGTCTTGTCTAGTAAGATAACACAATACCCTAGCCATCAACAGAACAGTTACGCCAAAACGTCTCCCATATTTATTCTACAGAAATCTAATAACAATGTTCCGCTGTGGTAAAATCTTCTCTACAAATATGTGTTGGCTTATCAAAGAGGAGTAGCGGAGGAAAACATGCTGGTCCTTTCTCGGGATTACACTGGCTCTGGATCGTAATCACTGAAAATATGACCTTGAAAAACGGCTTTCCCACAAAAAATCTAATTCTCCAAGACGGATTGTTTGTTCTAGTTCCGCTATGGTCAACATTTTAGGATAAAACTGGAAACAATTGCTCACCATTCTTAAAAGCCAGAAATTCAAAGACAGTGTGAACCAATGTAACAATCATCGTGATGCCAAGTAGGTATGGGTTTGTTTCCACCAAAGCTCTCTGTGTTCAAATGCAAAATTAATGTGCAAAATTAAATTTGCAAATTTAAATTTGCAAAATAAAATTTGCAAAATTAATACGCAAAATTAAATATGCAAAATTAATACGCAAAATTAAATATGCAAAATTAAATATGCAAAATTAAATATGCAAAATTAAATATGCAAAATTAAATATGCAAAATTAAATATGCAAAATTAAATATGCAAAATTAAATATGCAAAATTAAATATGCAAAATCAATACGCAAAATTAATAATAAAAAAATTACTAATTGTCTAGAGCGCTTTTCGATTGAGTAACGTAAAACTAAAACAAATTGATAGTAATCACAACAGCCAATCAGAACAAAGTAAAATATGTTCTAGCCAATGAAAACACAAATTAAACACAAGGAAACTCCTTTAAGGGCAACAAGTCTTAAAACTGATTGGTTGAGAAAGTGGCGTCAGTTTTCCGGAACAATCACATAGCGAGGTAAACGAATACCAGAGCAATCCTGAATATCCTTAGACACTTGCGTGAAGTTGTTCTACATAAACGAGACACTTTTTACAACCTAAAACACACCTTAATAGAATCCTGCTCTTCATCAGTCTGTTCTGGTTCATCTCCTAAAACTGAAAACCATTTTTGTCTCATTCTTTGAGACTCGTACATTTGCCATCTGAACAGTGATATAGGACTGTAGGTCAAGTGTAACTCGAGGGTTCTGTCGAAGGAACAAAAAAAACATGTTACTTTTTCGGTTTGAGTGATTCCCAAAAACTTATGCATTTCAACGTCACATTTCCAATTTGCAAGAGCATGAAAACAACTATATTGTTTATTACATGAACTGAGGTGCTTTGTAAGGATTTTCAGCCTTGAGAGAAGCCGTAACTGCACACGCGTAAAATAACGATAACCTCTCGCATGTTTGATATCGCCAATCAGTTGCTGACACATCACTTTCCTTTCGCAAGAAAGGCAAACGGGATTTATGTAATAAACAAAGTAATACTATGGCGCGCACACAGTTGCAGATAGGAAATTTCTCTTTCGTATTCCACTCGATATCTCACTCGTCCGCTGCGCTTGCTCATGAGACATCGTGTTAAACACTCCATATCTACGTACACTCAGGTTTTTTTCTCTGTATAAAAGGTGAGCGTGAAATTAACTTTGTTGTAAGTTGCTTTGGACAGCAAAATCCATCATAAAGAATTTATTGTAATTGATATACATGTTTGTGATTTTTCGAGCCATTAGATAGGTTACTACAGCTAACTTGCATTAAACTCTGCAAAGTTAGGATTGGCAGAACTCACAGGGTACCACAAATTAATATTAAGTTATGAAGTTTACGAAGTATTCTCAAATTTGCCATTTGTATAACAGCTGCAGAACCACCCTCAGCTTGGATAATACTGTACTGCGTGCTTCTTGATTGATTGACATAAAAGCAAAACTAAAGTAATCACAGCGGTCAATCAAAATAAAGGAAAATACCCAAAGAGCCAATGAGAACGCGCAATAAAAATAACCAAACTACCTAAAGCGCGGGAAAACGCGGACGACCAAGCAATTATTGGTAATAGTTCTGCATCTAATTGGTTGAGAGAGTAACGCAAGTTTTCTGGACCAATCATAGAGCAAAGTAAAGCACAAACACAGCAATCCCGGATCACGTTGGATACTCAATCGAAATTGCTCCATACGATATGACTGCCGAGAAATAGTCACAACATGCTTAAATTCACAAACTTTCCACGAAATATTTAAAACACTTACTTTGTGGTTTCATTGATTGGCATGTAGTCACTGGCCAGATTCCAGTACTTGTTTAAATACAGAACAGGATAGTATTTGCCTGTTATGTTTTCAAAGGCAAGAACTGAAAATGGAAGAAAATTAGGTTATTAAATAAAGTCAAACCTGTATTATGCGGCACCGTATTAAGCGGTCACCCTGTATTAAGCGGTCAAAGTCACGAATGTGTTTCCCCTTAATCAATGTAATTTTCACCTCTATTAAGCGGTCGCGGTCACCCATTACTAATTCCTAACAGCTTGTTTTTCTAGTTTTCCACCTGAGTTGAACAATCACTGAAAGAGGAATCAGTCAGCTATAACTCCTTGTTTATCTCCCAAAATCAAAGTCATGAGTATTTTTGAGCGAGTAAATTGGTGTTGTGTATCGTTTTATACAATACCCCTTATCTGTGGAACCTATATTAACCGGTCCCAACGTCATTCCCCGCAGGTGACCGCTTAACTCAGGCACGACTGTATTGCAAGCTGTCTCTTTTTTTTAATACAGGGCATTACAGGTCTTAACCCTTTGGATGTCATTTTTTTTTTTTGAAGAAGTTTTTGTTTTTTTCATTTATGTTTACCGTTCTCCTTGCATTAACTTCTACACACTAACATCAGTATGTATAATTATTCTCTGTACTGTTCACTACACATTTCCAAAGGCGCTGACAAGGAAAATTTGTTCAGTAACCAAGGGCTTTTTCAGTTTGTGACCATTTCCTTTACTCTCGTGAATTTTATGTTTTATTCAGGGTAATGTAACGAGAAATTAGTTATTAGTCACTCTTGGGAGTCAAGATGTAATGTTCCATGATTTCTATCAGTTAAAATCCGCCCCTTCCTCCCTCCTTGTCAGAGAATTCAGCTGGCAATGTTACCATACCATCACAATGTGTTTAAAGATTAGTGGTGTAATCAGAGGCTTTGGGATATCTTTATAGTCACTGAAATATTTCTTCAACTGACCATTTTGTGACTTTAGGATATCAAGAGGCTCTGGACAGGGTTGTTCAAAGCTAGGTTAAGATGACTCAGTTTTAGTGTGAAATCTGATTTCACAACTGAAAGCCTTAGAAGAAAATATAGTATACTAATTTTTGTTTGGAATTTGATTATTAAATGCTCTAAAAAATAGGAAAAATTATCTCAAAAAGGCTTTTGAATAAACTTAATAAAAAAAATAAAATTAAAATTTAACCTTGGGTGAATGCTAATCAGCCTTTGAACAACTGGCCCCTATGTTGTTCTGTATACACTTACATTCATCCATTGGCTGCGGCACAGAGCCCTGCACCCAAGGAGTCTGGTCATCCATTAGATTGATCGTCAGGTTTGGGTGCCAGTATGAAATGATTTCAACAGGCATCTTACTGTCAGGTGCTTGCTGTGAGAAGGTTTGGAAGTGAGTTCATATATTGAGCCAAGAATACATTGAAACATAATGGCTACCTTATTTTTCAGGGTTGTCATTAGAAAATGTAATATATTTAATAACAAATCAACAGTGGTTTAGCAAGGTCTGTACTCTTATTGACAAAGATATTTGTCACCTCTGTGGTTGAAACTTTGTGGACTCACAGGGCACAGCTGAGTGAGTCGGCAACAAATTTTGACCACTGTGCCAACCAATATTACCATTGATAAGAATGAAGACCATGCTAAACCACTGTCAATTTGTTTTTTTACCACAATATTGACATTAAATAAAACAATTCTTCCATGGCCTGACCATTGTGTGACATGTTAATGCAAGCAGCTTTGTCTGTACTCTTATTGATGATGACAAATTGGCCAATCAGATTACAACATTACTGCCAATTGTGGTAAAATATGAATTGAACTGAGCAGGGAGCGTAAGGGGTTTAGGCGAATGTTACCCACAAAAAATTAGAAATTTGAAACTCTCTCAGACATGATTTCCAACATTCTGGGACATTTTTGAGTACCCTGGGTAACCAGACATTGATATTAGAATCTGTTCAAAGATACATATCTTCTGTCTCTGATCAGAATTCACAAAATAGTTGTACAATCAGTGGGTTTCTGCCTCCTACCAACTTCTAATGACAACCGTGTTTTGGCTAAAACATACTCAGCTTACCACAATGTCAGGATTAGCATCAGCCACACCAGTTAACAAGTTTACTGTCTTATGAACTCGCTTTTTTCTATAAACGGTCAATACTGAAATAGAAGAAAAAAATGAGAGTTCACAGTCATGTAGGGAGAATGTGGTTAGGTCCAGCAAGTTAGGGGCTTACAATGCTAAGAACAAGGGCTCAGGGGGGAAAGGGAACGGGAACTGGGTGCATATTCCATGAGAAAATTGTGGGAAATTTAGTGGCTCTAAATGCTGTGTTACACACCTTCATGCATGCAAAGCAATGAGGCCATTGGTTGGCAAGGGAAGAGTGTGATGTAACACTGATACTATCAAAAACAGTTACAGTTTGCGACAGCCAATGTATTGTTAAAAGCCAATTGCTTTATAACGCAGGCTTCCATTTAAAGTTAAATCTGCCTCTTAAGTTGTATTTCGATATGAACAAGACCCCTGACACAAGACACTTCTGATACCCATGCAATGATGGATCCAGATCTGGGGGGGGCAAGGGTTGAGGCAAACCTGCCCCAATCAACGTGTTTATTTTTTTACAGGCTAATTTGTATTTAAATTTATTTAACTTTAAATATTCCTTAGTTTGCTTGTCTAGGTTCTAGTACAATAACAAAACAAAATTTCGTGTTTTCTGGATCCTCCTGAAATCAAAATTCCAGGATCTGCCTTCTGCAGTGATTTTTTTCTTAGAGCACAGTATTGTCATTGATACTTACACAAACTTCTATTTACAACAGCGAGCTTGTTGAATTTTGGATGCATAGGGTCAGGTGACTTGCCAGTCTTTGTTACATAAACATGAATGTAAAGAGATCCATTGTTCTGCATCCTCTGTTGAAAGAATTACAAAAGTTCAATTACTGCACCCATTGACCCTTCACACCCTAACATCAGTATGCATATTCTCCAAACTGTTCTTTATGTATTTCCTAAGGTGCTGAAAAGGAGAATTTGTTTCACAATCAAGACCTTCTATAGTTGGTGATCATTTCCTTTATTCTCATGACCTAGATGTTTGATTCAGAAGTGATATTGTAAGGAGAATTCAGATGCTAGTCACCATAGGGGTTAAAAGGTTGAAAGAGCAATGTATCTCATTGCCCACCCCCCAAAAAAAAAAAAAAAAAAAATAGTCAAGTGACTTCACTGTACCATGCACCTAAACACAAATCAGGTACCAAGTTGTAGTGAAAATTTGCTTGATGTGACATGTAGATTTTTTTTCAGTGAAACTCTTTCCTGCAACAGACTTTTGGTCCAGTTATACAATGCATCAGTTCAGACTACAGTCAGTGCATCTTTTTTATTCTTTTGTCCTTGCCAAGTTTACCTATTCACCCCCCTTTCCCCAAAAAACAATGTGGTATCATGGTTCCATGATCCTTTAGCTACCAACAGGCAACATGGAATGGGGAATGGGAGGGAGGATCTTGTCATTAGTTTAGAGTATAAAGCAAACAGTAGTGTTACTCTCCTCATAAAACAAAGAACTGATTAAACATATTGTGTTAACTTATTTTGATGCTGATTGTAGCTTGTATTTGTGGAATGTTCAAAGGAATAGACTGACTTGCAGCAACTTGTTTTGATATTAGAGCACACAAATTGATTGTCCCAAAGACAAAGGAGGATTTGCCACAATGTAAAATCTACCCCATTATTACAAGTTTGTCTCATTTGATAGAATAAGTTACCCCTGTGTTGATAAGTTTATCTCCAAAGCTAAAATTCAAATTGTCACAGAAAAATACTCTTTGCAGTGCTCACAAGTTTTAAATTTCAAAATAAGTAGAGAAATTCATTCTTTTGTAAGGAAACAAGTCAAATCATTTTGGGAGACACTAGTGACAGCCAAGGTGAACTTGTTACACTTAATGAGACAAAATGCATCAAGGTAGGGGAAACATGGCAGAGGGTGCACTTAAGGTGTCCTGGCCTAGTGGGTTTCATACCTCTGATGCTTGGATATTGGTGCTGAACAGACGAGAACCATCCATTTGAGGTCCATCTGTCCAATTCCCAAACTTAAGACCTCTTTCATGCCACACAAGTTTCTCACTGTTGTTGAAATCAGTAAAATGTTGCTCTTCTGCCAAATAAACCCACAGTTCCTGCAAAGATTGAAACATTAAAAAATTAAGTATCAATAATAACACAGGGATTAAAACCAGTCACAAAAAGACCACTTTACGCCCTAACATCAGTATTAATATTCTTCATACTCCAATCTATACATTTCCTTTGAAACCCACAAGGAGAATTTGTTTAACAACCAAAGCATATCTGGTCAGTGATCATTTCCTTCATTCTCATGATCTCAATGAATGATTCTGCAGTATTACTGTAAGGAGAAATTAGAAGCTGGTCACTCTTAAGTCATTGTTAATTTTGTAAACGAAAGAAAACGCTGATTTAAATTAGATTAATTATTTTAAATTTGTTATTTTTAAGGGTCTTCAAGCTTTTTCTAACTTCGTTTGAAACGTTCTAAAAAATAGAAATAACTACATGTAAGGCCTAAGTTGAAAATTATGAAACACTCCCGAAGATACCACACTCGTTAAAACCACCCTCTCAGGAATCGAACCTCACTTGTACATATCAAGGCAGTCCTCACCGGATGAAACTTTGAATCGTAATCAAACAATTCTAAATTAATGGGAAGATAATTTTAATTTTTCTAAGATCTCCGCCCGAAAATGCTGAAAGAAAAGGTACATCACTTAATTCTTACACACAAAAAAAATTTATGCCCGATCATGTGCCAACCGGCTTCATGCATGCACGCGAGCGACATCGACTCCTCTAAAAATCTCGTCAAATTTGTTTGAAAAAAACAGCTTTTGATTACCATTGATCAATCTAAGTTGACAGTTATTGGACAAGATTAACTCACCATTTTCTGATCCGTTTTAAACAGGTTTGTAGAGGCGATCACGTTCGTGTTTGTGCCCTGTTGCTGTCGACCACGAAACAAATTTGAAATGAGCCAAAAGATGAACATTCGAATCAGAAGACTCTTCCACATAGAACCTTGTTCTTGTTGTGGCTGCTGCTGTTGCTGTTGAGGCTGATTGTTTTGTTGGTCGTTGTTCCCCGCCGTTCCATTTTGAACCTGGCTATTACTTTGTTGCCCGTTTTGTTCACAGACCGCTTCGTCACTTCGTTCGGAAGCCATGATGAAAGGAAAAAGATAAGGAAATTCTGGGAGCGTAACCGCGCTTATCACGTGAAGGTTCGGCTACACAGCTAGAAAATGGCGGACATGTGTTTATACGCTAAAGGCATGTGTTTCGCTTATGACTCTGACGACACTTTACGTCAGTTTTTAGATATGGTAATTGACTTCATTCATTTACTGCAAATTAAAACGGTCAATCACGACTTGGTTCAAGCTACGGAGGAATCCGTTCATCTAAACTTACTTCGATTCTCCCAGTCCGCGAGTATATAGTAAAATTCAGTTACCTCTGACTTTGTATTTAGGGGGAGGAGGAGGGGTTGGGGAAGGTGGAGAGAGGGGGGAAAGAGGGGAAGGTTGTGACGGTTTATCATTCCCCTCTCCATTAACGCCCCTTCACTGGAGGGGGGGGGGAGGGTGAAGAGGGGGAAGGTTGTGATAGTTTATCCTTCCTCTTCTCTATTAACGTCCCTCCAAATACTTGGAGAAGCGTTTTACTAGAGACAAAATGGAGAGGTGAACTTATTTTACGTCCTCAGGATAGGATAACGTGCATGTCTCGAGCGGCAGTGAGAAGATTAAATGGTCGTGGTCGAAGATATTCCGGTAAAAGAGATTAATCTCTAAGAATTGCAACGATGTACATTAGTTCTTACCCAGTATCCCCCCCCCCCTTGAGTTCACCTTTCCTTGGTTTTTCCAACCCGTTTTGCCCGTCCTTTTCCTTTTAATATCTCTCTTTTGCGTTTTATTCTCTCTCTTTAAATTGTGTGGAAAACCTCCACACAGAACGTTTTATTCTCTCTCTTTGACGTCCGTTGTAGAAAAGGACTCATTCCCTTTACAAATAAGTGTCACGTTACATTTACAAAACTTGCTAATCGACTTCTGGAAACTGCCAAACATAACGCGACTACTTCCGTGTTGATAAAATTGTCTTTCAAGGATAGACAATTTGATCAACGCAACACAGTTCAAACGAAACTACAAAACGAATATTCTATAAAATTTTATCTTCGGATCGGATTCTGTTAGAATTAAAAGAAAAAGATGCTATGAACCAGACCTTGAGACATAATATCGCTACTCAAACTTAAATAGTAGCAAGTTCCATTCTGACTGTGCAGTACTCTTTTACCAAGCGTTTTCCAATGAGTGGGAACAAACAAAAATTTGCCACTTTTTTAAATTTAGTTTTTATTTCGATTATAAAAAGATGATATAACAAAACAGCATATTATGATGTAACAACATGCGGGTATCCTAAAAAGGTTTTGTGCAAAAGTTTTGTGTTTTTTGTACAAAAACAAAAACTGACGCGTCAGTTTCTGTTCAGCACTCGTTTTAGCATAAAAAAAGAAAAAAAAGTACAAAATTACATAATCACTTGTAATACCCCTAATTTCCATCTTTTGCCCCAAACAGGTCTGGCCGGCAAAATTGAAGTTTCTAGCCTGACTGAAGTTAACATGGTTTTCTTCTTCTCTGATCACTTTATTGACCATTTCTAAAATCTTGACTCGATTTCAGATTCACGAAGACAAACTGCATGGAATTTGAGTTGAAAATGTATGAAAGAAACAACTAATCTATACTTAAGATACACATGCTGCTTTTTGCTAATGGCAAGTTGCTACAGTTCGCCTGCTTATGTAGCAACGTGGATGTCGCCACGTTGGCTGCGCTTGTTGCGGCTGCGCAGTATCAGGTAAGCCGTGAGACAGATAATTGCTACGGCGAGAACACCGCTGATCGCTACTGTAATCACTGTACCGTTTGAGAGGGACTTGGACTCATTTTCTTCACCTGATCCTGCTGAGAAGAGAAATCAAATAATCGACATTAGAGCAATTTGCAATTAAATCTCGAAAGTCATTCAGGATTGTGTTAGTTTTGCTTCTGACTTTGCTCTGTGATTGCTTTAAAAGACTCGTGCCTTTCGGATTCAAAACTAGAACCAACTACGACAAGTCCACTTGCATTTTGTTCCCTTTTCGTCAATTTGCTCGTTTTTACTTTGACTCAGTTTGATCGGCTTGTAACATATATTTTCCTTCGCCTTGATTGGCCTTTGAGACAACAGTGGCTCTGGAATTTTAACACTAAATTGCAGAGTAACCTCTGCTGAATAAAAACTTCCCGTTTGTTTTTTCTATCGTTCTTTTTCTTTTCAACAACCAAGCTTGAAAAGAAAAAGTTTTCACTTGGGATGCTTTCGACATTGCTGCTCCTAACAGTTTTCATACCTAATTGTAGAGTAACCTCTGCTTAATAAAAACTTCCGGTTTGTTTTTTCTTTCGTTCTTTTTCTTTTCAACAACCGAGCTTGAAAAGAAAAAGTTTTCACCAGGGATGCTTTCGACATTGCTGCTCCTAACAGTTTTCTGGACGCCCGTCGTATATAAACCCACGAAAAAAGAAAGACTTGCCGAATAGTCCTCGATAGCCCAGGTGGTAGAGCATAATTCAAGTAGGATTTGGGATCGACGTGACCTTGCCCCTTAAAAGGGATCTCAATGCATTCTACGTGTAGCTTTACAACCAATCAATTAGAGATCACAAAAATGAATGCCTCTTACTTTCTTTCTCTTCCTCGTCGTTCTCCAAAATAAAAGGCCCGGTAGACACGCGATACACTTTCGTTTCATCCACTGTTGACCTCTTTTTCCTGGAACTAGGACACTGACTGCTGGAAGGGCACTCGCACGCTGAAGTGGGCTTGTTTGCCAGACAAACCCTTAGATCACAGTGGAAGTAAACTGCGTCACCTGTCTCAGCTCCATAATACCTAAAGGCCTGAATGGAGAACTTTTCTTCGGTACTGTCACTTGCGCAAGAGTAGGACAAAGTGTCTTCGAGGTCTTCACTGGTGGCTTTGTTGCCACAGCTGTTTGAAAAAAGGAGATCAATACAAATCATTAACCTCTAGTGTCAAAATAATATCTAAATCTTGAACAACATCGCGCCATTTAAAGTCTTTTAGTAAAATGCGATCGACATGGCAGAGAGATTAAATCGTTACTATGCCAAATCGCCTTTAGTAGCATCACCCCTTAAGCTGAATGACCTGCAGACAATGGCTTCATTTCATGGGTGGTAGAATAAAGAATCCGTTGTGTAAAATTTAAAGATGTTACCTTCGTTAGTTACAAACGACATCCATGATTAACAAAACAGAGAACGCCGAAAATTTTATTACCACCATCCCCTCCTATTTGTGATTCACAGGAATTTATGCAGTTAGCAGTTTGTCATCTTCGTTTCGCCATGGGTTTTTTGGGAACAAGGGTGCTGCCGACGCTGAACATTTCTCCCTCAATGAATTTCTCCGGATTTTCCCAGCCCTCAGTAGCTTGGGGTATCTCTATCTGAGGTATCTCGGAATATCTGAGATTTAGGAGGATTATTTTTCTCTAGCCACCACCTGAGACCACGTACCCTTCTTCTATCAGAGAAACTTGCCCATCCTTTGAAGTCGGATCACTGTTCTTTGACGAATAACAATGAACAAGAAAGAGGTCAAGATTGGGTGCACGGCTTGAGGTCTCAACCGAAGCCTGGAAGTACAACTTTTTTCTCAGCGGAACTTTGTTGGGAACTCTTCCAGTAAAATTGGGATAGTTGAACGCTTGAAGATTAAAGTTGAAAAACGCAGTGCCTAGGAGAGACAAGAAAACCACATTCATAAGTCCCATATGTTCCCCTTAAAAAATAGTCCAAGTTTTCACATCACCCCTTCAGAGCCTTCTTAAATTGAAATAGAGTCAAACATAGCGTTCATTAGCGATTTCAAAGATAAGGCCGACGAATCGTTTTATCATTTTTACTTACTTGAATCGTTGTATTCCCGGTTCTTGATTGGTACAAAACTGGCTGAGGATACGTTTTGATTGACATACGAACACCATACATAGTAAAGGTGGTCATAGCCACGAAGCTGCCCGGTGCTGGAGTTTTTCTTGGTTGGATTGATTTTCAAGACATATTTGATACTGCTGTTAGCCGGTTGTTCAGATGACCAAGCACAATCAGGCAGATTCAGGGCACTGTAGGTTACTGTCTCATTACCAAATACTGGCTTGCACTCGCTCTTGTTCTTTAATTGCCATTCATCTACCGTCCACTCGTTAAGATCATCTACGTTAGTGATTTTGATATCGACCGTATGATTGTTGTTGCAGGTAACTTTACCTTTTGGTTCACCATACATATGACTTGTGCCTGCGATAGAATACAGTAAAATATGCATGAAAATAGACAATGACAATGACACTGGCAATGGCGATGGCAATGGCAATGGCAATGGTAATGGCAATGACAATGACAATGACAGTGGCAATGGCAATGGCAATGGCAATGACAATGGCAATGATAATGGAAATGACAGTGACAATAGCAATGACGATGACAATGACAGTAGCAATGGTAATGGCAATGGCAATGAAAATGGCAATGACAATGGCTATGACGATGACAATGACAGTAGCAATGGTAATGCCAATGGAAATTGCAAGAAAAAATGGCAATCACAATGGCAAGACAAGGACTAAGGAAGTGAGCCCCGACAGGATTTTTAAATGGCGCTGAGGATAGAATTTATGATACACTTCTTTTCCAAAGAAGTGTATGCGACCCGTCAGAGAGGAATTGATGTTTTGTTGAACTGGGGTTAGGAACTGGTGAGGGTGAACTGAGTTGTAGAATGAACTGGAATTTCATCCGGCTTCGCTTCAAGTAGTATGAAAAACCTTTCAAGTTTATTATGAATCTATTCTACCATCTGTAAATACGAAAAAAGACTTGAGCCTTACCGAGCTGGAAGACAATTGCAAAAACCGCCAAAAAAATTAGAGTCTTCATGCTTCACTGTGAATATGTCCGCTGATCTAGGTCTCTTGGATATCCACTCCTATCAAAATCAACAACAGTTATAAACAAAAAAAGGTAAAGACACAAGTTGTTTACGCATAGCTGTTCGGGACGGTGGAGGCAGTGTAATATCATCTCTAATCATTTCTATAGAAGATCACTTCACCGCGTGCCAAGAACAGCCCTTTCTTTGAGTAAAATGTGCCGAAGAATGAAGGTGGAGCACTCCTTGACCTGGAGTAACTTATGCTAGAATTCAATTTTTTTAGTTCTCTTTTTTCGTAGGAGAAAGAATCTGAACTTTCCATTGTCACATTGAACTTACGGCGATGCTTACTATAAATCATTAAATTGCGTTCAGTTGCATAATTTAGACCACCGGAAATTTCCTTCAACTTTCCCTTAAAACTCTTTACATATTTGCCTAAACTGATCAATGCGTGAACATCAGTAGAGAATTTACAATATACTGCACAAAATTCCTTCACAAAACACAGAAGGACAAACTCTTCTTCGATGGAGCCCTTTAGAATTCTCTACCTAGGAGGACTGTTTAGTCCTTGTCGCGGATGTTCGAAGGGTGCACAGCTATACCCGCTTAGTTGGTATCAGGTGGAAAGCACAGTAGGTTTTGCTGACACCTGCCCGCTGGATAGCGATTTACCCGCTGGATAGCGTTATCCGCCCTTTAAAAGACTGGGCGTTCTAAGACCATTAGTGAAGTTCTCAAATTGAAATATTCAAATGCAAAGGTGGATTAAAAAGATCATGATCATTCCTTCGTAGATTGACGTAATGAACACACTTGGATGCGACAAATGAAATCTTGTAAGCAGTGTTTGTTTAAGGCTCTGTACATCCGCTGGTTACCTGTTCCATTATCACGTAATGATCTCAGCGAAAAGCGACCTAGATTTCATTTGTCTTTTGAAAAGAATCCTCAGATCCTTTAGCGGTAAAAACTGCATATAATTAAGCATTTTACTCAAGGTGAAAAACTTCGTTAAACAGACTATCCCTATTCTGCCATTACGTTTCATTGATTCGGTAACGCATTTTGTTGGTGGTTCTGCTTTGCTAAGGTTTGCCGGGCTTATCCCAATTCCAACTGCGAAATTCGTGGAGAAATGTTTGCATTTACGGAGACACAATATTATAAAAAATAGAGATAAGGCATGCAGTTGGTAGTAGTGCAAGTGCAAGTTTTTGAGGGTTACTCCTTCTGTGGTACTTTTTAGCATTTATTTTTTTTTTAACTTCTGGGCCGTGGGCGTAACTGTAAAGGATTGAGAAAAATGGGGGCTACCGAAACAAGCGAAACCAAAGTGGGCCATAGCATTGAAGAAGGAGACACTCCTTTCCGCTCTGATCATTTTTAACTCCAACTAGCTGACGTAATATCTTGTTTTCCACTGTTAAATCGATTTTCACAGGAATCTTAACTCTTTCGGGTATACTGAAAAAAATGACAAATGATGGTAACCTTTTTTCTTTTATTTTTTTTGTCAACAGTATTTACACTAGTGATTAGTGCTATATCTCATTTGAAAGAGGACAAAATAAGCTTTTCAGAAAAAATATATTTAGCCTCCAAAAATCCATGGATTTTAAATCATGCAAAGAAAATGGCATACAATTTGCATAAATTATTGTACAACTTTTGACTTTGAAACAGCCTGAGCCTGAATGGATTGGAGTAAAAAAGGAAACATTTCTTAGATAAAATATTCCTTATCTTATGGGCAAGACATCCAGAGACTCTGGCTGAAAAAGAACAAATATGGAATTAATTAGAATTTTTTTCCAAACTGTACCCCAAAACCATAAAAATTGACCCAGATTATTGAAAAATTTATTCCTCACCAAGTATTTACACAAGGGAAGTAAGCTATACCTCACTTGAAACAGCAGTAAATAAGCTTTCCTGAAATGCATGTTTCCTCTCCAAGAAAAGGAAACAACCTCATTGAATGCTTTCAAACTAACATTAATTAGCATAAATATCATCTAAATTTGAACTGTGAATTTAGTGATACCCAAATAATACAAAGTAATAAGGCAAAAATTAACTTAAGAGGTTCCTTGTCATATGGGCAACATCTCCATAAAAAATTGGTTAGAAGATAACAAATCTGAGACATGTCACACATATCTTGTGAACACTGATTGACACACTGACTAATTAGTCTGACCTCATCATCACCCCAAGCCCAAATTTACTAATCCCTCTTGAAGTCTACAGTGCAATCATTGGAACTATATTTCTTTGTTTGACTTCTGAAATTTTGCCTTAAAACAGGGATAAATGAGATAATCAACCTCAAAATACATAAAGTGCAACATATATCAAAAGCCTTTCACGTGCAATGCACCACCAGTATTTTCAAGAGTAAACAATTCAGAAGTGAAACCGGAAACTGTCATTTTTTTTTTCACTCCACTCATTCTCGAGCATAATTAGTTTGTTTTGTGAATTTTCAGCATGTAACAAGTAAAACCACATCTAAAAAACATACAAAACATATAAGTTAATGTACAGTTCGATATATATTCAACTATCGTTTTAAAAATAAAAGATTTTATTTGATTTAGTTCGGACGCACACTGCGTCATATCTGTCATCGGCTGATAATTTAGGTCGTTGCGTTCTAACATTCCATTAAAGATTATTTTCTCTGTCGCTCAAAAATCACGTTTGATCATAATATATGTTGCTTTTCATTCACAAATATACATTTACAGGTTTGCCTCAAGGCAAAAAACAAGGATTCGTGCGCGAAAAGTAAAAGTAAATGTTTCAACACCACATGCGTCACGCAATTAAATATCGCAAGAATGTTTACAGATTACTTACCTCCATTCTTCGCTAAGATTTTCCAGTTTTCTATCTAATTCGGATTCCTCACCACTAGAGATACCACCATGCTCACTTCCATCGTCAAAAATCACCTCTAAAGGCTTAGCTACGCTGTATCTCTGGCGTTTCGCATCGGACGCCATTATCGCAGACTGAAATCGTACGCAAATAATTTTCGGATCGGGCTCCCGAGGTCACGTTTGATAGTTCGGAGCTAAAACTCGCCATGTGATTGGCTTAGAATGTTTACATGCTACAGCCGAACTTTCAGAGCGATCGGATGTAATCCGAGCATTTCCGAAAAGGTCAACGTCATCGTGCAATTTTGCACGTTTTGCCAAAGGGCTGACCGGAAAATTAAAAACTTATCAAATGAAGATTCTAAGCATACCGCATCGCTACAACAAAAGAATTAGTTATTAACATCGGCTTAAGATCGACTCGCGTACTTTACCTATTCAAATAATGTTACACTTGTTCTCTGTGGTTAAATACCAGCTGAAAGATGTAATTATCACATGAAAGCGTCGGTGCTAAATGGAACCTACCCGACTTCATTCTGTTTGATATCAAGGCTAACAGTAATTGGAGATTCTCTGTCGCACTTATGCTTTCGAAATTTACTATGTTTTTTGTAATCGCCCCAAGGTTCCGTCAGTCAGGAAGCTTTTTGACGTTGATACAATCCTATTCCCTTGAGAAAGGAAAAAATTACTTTCTCAAGCTGTTACTGAAATCGCCTCGTGAGTAAGTACGTTTTTACTGTCAATTCGTCGTTCACATCGCTTTCGAAAGTGCAGTGATGCCAAAATCAAACAAACGCCCACCTTTTAACACCCGTGTATCTTATGGTTCACCCCTCAAACTCTATGGTTTTTTTTCTATTTAAGGAACTCACGAGAAATGTCATTAAACCCGAGTCACACCCCCGTGTGACTTATCATTAAAAGATCAAAGTTCCGCTGTATTAGAGAGTGCTTTCCCGCTATCGTTTGGAAATGAAATTTTCTTTCATTGGGCTCGAAATTTCATCATCATTTTCTGGCGAACTTGATTAAGACTGACGAGGTCGATTATGGGGACCACTCCAAACTAATCGCCATAGGTGAAGCACACATGTATAACAACCGCGCTTTGTACCATCATTAGGTTATCACAAGCCGTTTTAGATTACGTCGTCTCTTTAGTGACTAGTGACAGCCAAGGTGAACTTGTTACACTTAATGAGACAAAATGCATCAAGGTAAGGGAAAAGTGGCAGAGGGCGCACTTAGGGTGTCCTGGCCTAGTGGGTTTCATACCTCTGATGCTTGGATATTGGTGCTGAACAGACGAGAACCATCCATTTGAGGTCCATCTGTCCAATTCCCAAACTTAAGACCTCTTTCATGCCACACAAGTTTCTCACTGTTGTTGAAATCAGTAAAATGTTGCTCTTCTGCCAAATAAACCCACAGTTCCTGCAAAGATTGAAACATTAAAAAATTAAGTATCAATAATAACACAGGGATTAAAAACCAGTCACAAAAAGACCACTTTATGCCCTAACATCAGTATTAATATTCTTCATACTCCAATCTATACATTTCCTTTGAAACCCGCAAGGAGAATTTGTTTAACAACCAAAGCATATCTCTTCAGCGACATTTCCTTCATTCTCATGATCTCAATGAATGATTCTACAGTATTACTGTAAGGAGAAATTAGAAGCTGGTCACTCTTAAGTCATTGTTAATTTTGTAAACGAAAGAAAACGCTGATTTAAATTAGATTAATTATTTTAAATTTGTTTTTTTTAAGGTCTTCAAGCTTTTTCTAACTTCGTTTGAAACGTTCTAAAAAATAGAAATAACTACATGTAAGGCCTAAGTTGAAAATTATGAAACACTCCCGAAGATACCACACTCGTTAAAATCACCCTCTTAATAGGAATCGAACCTCACTTGTACATATCAAGGCAGTCCTCACCGGATGAAACTTTGAATCGTAATCAAACAATTCTAAATTAATGGGAAGATAATTTTAATTTTTCTAAGATCTCCGCCCGGAAATGCTGAAAGAAAAGGTACATCACTTACTTCTTCCACACAAAAAAATTTATGCCCGATCATGTGCCAACCGGCTTCATGCATGCACGCGAGCGACATCGACTCCTCTAGAAATCTCGTCAAATTTGTTTGAAAAAAACAGCTTTTGACTACCATTGATCAATCTAAGTTGACAGTTATTGGACAAGATTGACTCGCTATTTTCTGATCCGTTTTAAACAGGTTTGTAGAGGCGATCACGTTCGTGTTTGTGCCCTGTTGCTGTCGACCACGAAACAAATTTGAAACGAGCCAAAAGATGAACATTCGAATTAGAAGACTCTTCCACATAGAACCTTGTTCTTATTGTGGCTGCTGCTGTTGCTGTTGAGGCTGATTGTTCTGTTGGTCGTTGTTCCCCGCCGTTCCATTTTGAACCTGGCTATTACTTTGTTGCCCGTTTTGTTCACAGACCGCTTCGTCACTTCGTTCGGAGGCCATGATGAATTGAAAAAGATAAGGAAATTCTGGGAGCGTAACCGCGCTTATCACGTGAAGGTTCGGCTACACAGCTAGAAAATGGCGGACATGTGTTTATACGCTAAAGGCATGTGTTTCGCTTATGACTCTGACGACACTTTACGTCAGTTTTTAGATATGGTAATTGACTTCATTCATTTACTGCAAATCAAAACGGTCAATCACGACTTGGTTCAAGCTATGAAGGAATCCGTTCATATAAACTTACTTCAATTCTCCTTGTTTGCGAGTATATAGTAAAATTCAGTTACCTCTGATTTTGTATTTAGGGGGAGGGGGAGGGGTTGGGGAAGGTGGAGAGAGGGGGGAAAGAGGGGAAGGTTGTGACGGTTTATCATTCCCCTCTCCATTAACGCCCCTTCACCGGAGGGGGGGGAGGGTGAAGAGGGGGAAGGTTGTGATAGTTTATCTTTCCTCTTCTCTATTAACGTCCCTTCAAATACTTGGAGGAGCGTTTTACTAGAGACAAAATGGAGAGGTGAACTTATTTTTCGTCCTCAGCATAGGATAACGTGCATGTATCGAGCGGCAGTGAGAAGATTAAATGGTCGTGGTCGAAGATATTCCGGTAAAAGAGATTAATCTCTAAGAATTGCAACGATGTACATTAGTTCTTACCCAGTATCCCCCCTTGAGTTCACCTTTCCTTGGTTTTTCCGACCCGTTTTGCCCGTCCTTTTCTTTTTAACATCTCTCTTTTGTGTTTTATTCTCTCTCTTTAAATTGTGTGGAAAACCTCCACACAGAACGTTTTATTCTCTCTCTTTGACGTCCGTTGTAGAAAAGGACTCATTCCCTTTACAAATAAGTGTCACGTTACATTTACAAAACTTGCTAATCGACTTCTGGAAACTGCCAAACATAACGCGACTACTTCCGTGTTGATAAAATTGTCTTTCAAGGATAGACAATTTGATCAACGCAACACAGTTCAAACGAAACTACAAAACGAATATTCTATAAAATTTTATCGTCGGATCGGATTCTGTTAGAATTAAAAGAAAAAGATGCTATGAACCAGACGTTGAGAGATAATATCGCTACTCAAACTTAAATAGTTCCATTCTGATTGTGCAGTACTCTTTTACCAAGCGTTTTCCAATGAGTAGGAACAAACACAAATGTGCCACTTTTTTAAATTCAGTTTTTATTTCGATTACAAAAAGATGGCATGAAAAAACAGCGTAATATGATGTAACAACATGTGGGTATCCTAAAAAGGTTTGTTTTTTTTTGTACAAAACACAAACGTGTCAGTTTCAGTTCAGTACTCATTTTAGCATTAAAAAAGAAAAAAAAAGTACAAAATTAGATAATCACTTGTAGTTCCCCTAATTTTCATCTTTTGCCCCAGACCGGGTCTGGCCGGCAAAATTAAAGTTTCTAGCCTAGGTTACCATGGTTTTCCTCTTCTCTGACCATTTAATTTACCATTTCTAAAATCTTAACTCAATTTTAGACTCACGAAGACAAACTTCATGGAATTTGAGTTCAAATTGTAAGAAAAGAAACAACTAATCTATACTAAAGATACACATGCTGCTTTTTGCTAAAGGCAAGTCACTACAGTTCGCGTGCTTATGTAGCAACGTGGATGTCGCCATGTTGCCTGTGCTTGTTGCGGCTGCGCAGTATCAGGTAAACTGTGAGGCAGATGATTGCCACTGCGAGAACACCACTAATCGCGACTGTAATCACTGTACTGTTTGAGAGGGACTGGGACTCATTTTCTTCACCTGATCCTGCTGAGAAGAGAAATCAAATAATCGGCATCAGAGCAATTTATAATTGAATGTCGAAAGTTATTTAGGATTGTATTGGTTTAGCTTCTGACTTTGCTCTTTGATTACTTTAGAAGACTCGTGCTTTAAAATTCAAAACCAGAACCAACTGCGACGAGTCCACTTGCAGTTTGTTCCCCTTTGGCCAATTTGCTTATTTTTATCGTTGACTTTCGATCGGCTCTTAAATCGTATTTTCCTGATTGACCTTTGGGACAACAATGGCTCCGGTTTTTTTTAACACCTTATTGCAGAGTAATCTCCTCTGAATAAAAATTTTCCGTTTGATTTCTTTCGTTTTTTTTTTCTTTTCAGCAACCAAGCGTGAAAATAAAGTTTTCACTTGGAATACTTTCGACATTGCTGCTCCTGACAGTTTTCAGTAGTTTTCGATAGTCCAGGTGGTAGAGCATAATTCAAGTAGGATCTTGGTTCGACGTGACCTTGCCCCTTAAAAGGGATCTCAACGCATTCTACGTATAGCTTTACAATCAATTAGATAACAATCACAGAAATGAATGCCTCATACTTTCTTTCTCTTCCTCTTCGTTTCCAAAAATAAAAGGCCCGGTAGACACGCGATACACTTTAGTTTCATCCACTGTTGACCTCTTTTTCCTGGAACTAGGACACTGACTGCTGGAAGGGCACTCGCAAGCTGAAGGGGTCTTGTCTGCCAAACAAACCCTTAGAACACAGTGGAAGTAAACTGGGTCACCTGCCTCAGCTCCATAGTATCTAAAGGCCTGAATGGAGAACTTTTCTTTGGTACTGTCACTTGCGCAAGAGTAGGACAAAGTGTCTTCGAGGTCTTTACTGGTGGCTTTGTTGCCACAGCTGTTTGAAAAAAGGAGATCAATACAAATCATTAACTTCTAGTTTCAAAATAATATCTAAATCTTGAACAACATCGTGCCATTTAAAGTCTTTTAGTAAATCCGATCGACATGGCAGAGAGATTACATCGTTACTTTGCCAAATCGTCTTTAGTAGCACCACCCCTTAAGCTGAATGACCTGCAGACAATGGCTTCATTTCATGGGTGGTAGAATAACGAATCCGTTGTGTAAAATTTAAAGATGTTGCCTTTGTTAGTGACAAACGACATCCATGATTAACAAAACAGAGAACGCCGGAAATTTTATCACCACCATCCGCTCCTATTTGTGATTCACAAGAATTTATGTAGTTGGTAGCTTGTCGTCTTCGTTTCGCCATGGATTTTTGGGAACAAGGATGCTGCTGACGCTAAAGATTTCTCCCTTAATGAATTTCTCTGAATTTTCCCAGCCCCCAGTAGCTTGGGGTATCTCCATATCTTTCAAGCATTGGTCAGTCAGTTGCTCACTTTGAAGAGCGGAATATCTGAGCTTTAGGAGGATTATTTTTCTCTAGCCACCACCTGAGACCACCTACCCTCCTTCTATCAGAGTAACTTGCCCTTCCGTTGAGGCCGGGTCTCTGTTCTTTGACGAATAACAGTGAACAGGAAAAAGGTCAAGATTGGGTGCAGAGCTTGAGGTCTCAACCGAAGCCTGGAAGTACAACACTGTTTTCAGTGGAACTTTGTCGGGAACTCCTCCAGTGTAATTGGAATAGATGAACGCTTCAAGATTAAAGCTGAAAAACGAAGTGCCTAGGAGAGACAAGAAAATCACATTCATAATTCCCATATGTTCCCTTTAAAAAAAAAAGTCCAAGTTTTCACATTACCCTTTCAGAACCTTCTTTAATTGAAACAGAGTCAAACATGGCTTTCATTGGCGATTTCAAAGATAAGGCCGAAGAATCGTTCTATCATTTTTACTTACTTGAATCGTTGTCTTCCCGGTTCTTGATTGGTACAAAACTGGCAGTGGATACGTTTTCATTGACATACGAGCACCATACATAGTAAAGGTGGTCATAGCCACGAAGCTGCCCGGTGCTGGAGTTTTTCTTGGTTGGATTGATTTTCAAGACATATTTGATACTGCTGTTAGCCGGTTGTTCAGATGACCAAGCACAATCAGGCAGATTCAGGGCACTGTAGGTTACTGTCTCATTACCAAATACTGGCTTGCACTCGCTCTTGTTCTTTAATTGCCATTCATCTACCGTCCACTCGTTAAGATCATCTACGTTAGTGATTTTGATATCGACCGTATGATTGTTGTTGCAGGTAACTTTACCTTTTGGTTTACCATACATATGACTTGTGCCTGCGATAGAATACAGTAAAATATGCATGAAAATAGACAATGACAATGACACTGGCAATGGCAATGGCAATGGCAATGGCAATGGTAATGGCAATGGCAATGACAATGACAATGACAATGACAATGACAGTGGCAATGGCAATGGCAATGACAATGGCAATGATAATGGAAATGACAGTGACAATAGCAATGACGATGACAATGACAGTAGCAATGGCAATGGCAATGGCATTGACAATGACAATGACAATGGCTATGACTATGACAATCACAGTAGCAATGGTAATGCCAATGGAAATTGCAAGAAAAAATGGCAATCACAATGGCAAGGAAAAGGACAAGGACTAAGGAAGTGAGCCACGACAGGATTTTTAAATGGCGCTGAGGATAGAATTTATGATACACTTCTTTTCCAAAGAAGTGTATGCGACCCGTCAGATAGGAATTGATGTTTTGTTGAACTGGGGTTAGGAACTGGTGAGGGTGAACTGAGTTGTAGAATGAACTGGAATTTCATCCGGCTTCGCTTCAAGAAGTATGAAAAATCTTTCAAGTTTATTATGAATCTATTCTACCATCTGTAAATACGAAAAAAGACTTGAGCCTTACCAAGCTGGAAGACAATTGCAAAAACCGCCAAAAAAATTAGAGCCTTCATGCTTCACTGTGAATATGTCCGCTGATCTAGATCTCTTGGATATCCACTCCTATCAAAATCAAGGTAAAGACACAAGTTGTTTACGCATAGCTGTTCGGGACGGTGGAGGCAGTGTTATATCATCTCTGTTCGTTTCTATAGAAGATCACTTCACCGCGTGCCAAGAAAAGCCCTTTCTTTGAGTAAAATGTGCCGAAGAATGAAGGTGGAGCACTCCCTGACTGGGAGTAACTTATGCTAGAATTCAATTTTTTTTTAGTTCTCTTTTTTCGTAGGAGAAAGAATCTGAACTTTCCATCGTCACATTGAACTTGCGGCGATGCTTACTATAAATCATTAAATTGCGCTCAGTTGTATCATTTAGACCACCGGAAATTTCTTTCATCTTTCCCTTAAAACTCTTTACATATTTGCCTAAACTGATCAATGCGTGAACATCAGTAGAGAATTTACAATATACTGCACAAAATTCCTTCACAAAACACAGAAGGACAAACTCTTCTTCGACGGAGCCCTTTAGAATTCTCTACCCGGCCTAGGAGGACTGTTTAGTCCTTGTCGCGGATGTTCGAAGGGTGCACAGCTATACCCGCTTAGTTGGTATCAGGTGGAAAGCACAGTAGGTTGTGCTGACACCTGCCCGCTGGATAGCGATTTACCCGTTGGATAGCGTTATCCGCCCTTTGAAAGACTGGGCGTTCTAAAACCATTAGTGAAGTTCTCAGATTGAAATATTCAAATGAAAAGGTGGATTAAAAAGATCATGATCATTCCTTCGTAGACTGACTTAATGAACACACTTGGATGCGACAAATGAAATCTTGTAAGCAGTGTTTGTTTAAGGCTCTGTACATCCGCTGGTTACCTGTTCCATTATCACGTAATGATCACAGCGTAAAGCGACCGAGATCTCATTTGTCTTTTGAAAAGAATCCTCAGGTCCTTTGGCGGTAAAAACCACATATAATTAAGCATTTTACTCAAGGTGAAAAACTTCGTTAAACAGACTATCCCTATTCTGCCATTACGTTTCATTGATTTGGTAACGCATTTTGTTGGTGGTTCTGCTTAGCTAAGGTTTGCCCAGTTCCACCTGCGAAATTCGTGGAGAAATGTTTGCATATACGGAGACACAATATTATAAAAAATAGAGATAAGGCATGCAGTTGGTAAAAGTACTGCAAGTTTTTGAGGGTTACTCCTTATGTGGTACTTTTTAGCATTTAATTTTTTTTTTTTTTTAACTTCTGGGCCGTGGGCGTAACTGTAAAGGATTGAGAAAAATGGGGGCTACCGAAACAAGCGAAACCAAGGTGCGCCATAGCATTGAAGAAAGAGACACTCCTTTCCGCTCTGATCATTTTTAACTCCAACTAGCTGACGTAATATCTTGTTTTCCACTGTTAAATCGATTTTCACAGGAATCTTAAAAACTTATCAAATGAAGATTCTAAGCATACCGCATCGCTACAACAAAAGAATTAGTTATTAACATCGGCTTAAGATCGACTCGCGTACTTTACCTATTCAAATAATGTTACACTTGTTCTCTGTGGTTAAATACCAGCTTAAAGATGTAATTATCACATGAAAGTGTTGGTGCTAAATGGAACCTACCCGACTTCATTCTGTTTGATATCAAGGCTAACAGTAATTGGAGATTCTCTGTCGCACTTATTCTTTCGAAATTTACTATGTTTTTTTGTAATCGCCCCAAGGTTCCGTCAGTCAGGAAGCTTTTTGACGTTGATACAATCCTATTCCCTTGAGAAAGGAAAAAATTACTTTCTCAAGCTGTTACTGAAATCGCCTCGTGAGTAAGTACGTTTTTACTGTCAATTCGTTCACATCGCTTTCGAAAGTGCAGTGATGCCAAAATCAAATAAACGCCCACCTTTTAACACCCGTGTATCTTATGGTTCACCCCTCAAACTCTATGGTTTTTTTTTCTATTCAAAGAACTCACGAGAAATGTCTTTAAACCCGAGTCACACCCCCGTGTGACTAATCATTAAAAGATCAAAGTTCCGCTGTATTAGAGAGTGCTTTCCCGCTATCGTTTGGCAATGAAATATTCTTTCATTGGGCTCGAAATTTCATTATCATTTTCTGGCGAACTTGATTAAGACTGACGAGGTCGATTATGGGGACCACTCCAAACTAATCGCCATAGGTGAAGCACACATGTATAACAACCGCGCTTTGTACCATCATTAGGTTATCAGAAGCCGTTTTAGATTACGTCGTCTCTTTCAGTACGCGTATGAAACAATCTCTTACTTTTTCAAACGTTTGAATTGATACTCTCTGCCGGCGGTGGTATCATAACGATGGTTTATGAAACTATTTGCTTACTCTACAATTCTTCTATGAAAACGAGATATAAATTTTTTGCACAATCACTAAGAATTCAATTTAAAATAAGGCTGCAAAATGATTGTACTCACGTTTTTTGTTCCTCCTGCTTTGCCTGAGTTTTTTCAAGCTTGCTTCGCACTATAGAAGTGTTCGAACCTTTCTCGTTGCGAAATGGAATTTTTACTGCGAAGTAATTTCCTTATAGACTTTGTGCTCTGATCGACGGTGTCTTATCCAACAAGTGACGTCTTTTGTCTGATTTTGTTTACATTTTATGATTATTGGAATCGATCAGTTTCCTAATCAAATTAAAGTAAACAAAATTGTTCGCATTATTGTAAGAAGTCGAAAAGATATTCACTCGAGTGTTGCTCAACTTGACCACTGCACCATGTTTTCCTTCAAAGGACATGTCCTTAGATGTTTGAAATGGCATTCGATCAATTGCAACATCCATTACATTAACTATTACATGCCTCGTTCGTTTTGTTTATGTAAGCTGAAGTGTTTTTCGTGGGCGTGAATTACTTTAATACACACAATAAGGGGGGCGAACATCAATGCCTTATTTGTCTACGCTGGATGAGGCAGCAAATACATACATGCTTTATTTTTATTGGCGGAGAGCCTGTCAGTTAAATCCATATAGCAAGGGCAGGAAATTGAAACTGATTGAAAAATTCGAAATTAAGAACAAAAAATTGATATGAAAGATGATAAACGAGGTTAGTGTTCTAATCCATGTGGCAACAAAGCGGTGAATCTACTTGGAGAGCAATGGCGCTTCGACGATACTTTAGTTGCTACAATAGAAAATGCATCCAAGCGAAACTATGACAAGGAAAATATTTATTGTTTGGGCCGAAGGCACCTAGCAACTTTAATTCAAGATTCTTGCGCAACCAATTCTTGGAAAAGCTAGTGAAAGAATGAACTCTGACGCTCAAACAAACTTCTTAGGTAAGCGACTACTCGAAATTGTCCCTCAAAACTTTTTTTCACGTACGGTTATTACCGCAGCTGGCAACTATTTTAGCGCACAAAGTCGAAAAGAAAAATGTTACAGTTGTTGTTTATCAATTTGTTTTGTAATGTGGAACTAAGGTGCATATCTCGCGATTAGAAAGGTTGAAAGAGACACCCACTGTCCGCTTGACAAAAATTCAGTTGAGGTTAAGTTCTCTAGAAGGATCTGGGGTAAATTTTTTCATGGAAACGTATTTCATTTGAGTGAAATTTCCGCATTCCAGTGCTCATATGGCGAGCATCATCACGTCTCTCCCTCGTCCAACTCGTTTTAACACTTGACCTAGATCTTTCATTTTCATACCGTGCGCAGACTACCGTGACAACAAGCGTACATGTGCACACTGTATTTCACCTCCCGTAAGGTGAAAGCTTTTGATCCGGTCAAACGCACAATAAAAACTTGACTGAAACAAGAAGCCAGTCTCCTATCTCCTGAGAAAAGCCATTTGCTGAAGGTAACAGCAGATAAATAGAAATTTACTCCTACGAGGCGCTGTTTTGTCTCCAATATGCCTCGTGTCTTGCGTTGTCAAAACAGTGTTTAAAAGTTCCTATCGCGTCTCACTTTCCTCCAACGTGTACAATATCCAGTTCGGTGTTCATCAGAGTTATAATACAAACTCACCTTCAAAGGAAAGGAATGCGGCAAATCAGACTTATGTTAGTTTTAACTTAATTCGCTGATGCATTCTTTATGAGCAATTTTCGCCCCAATTCAACTGACATCTGTGTAATGAGTTTGGTTTTTGTCCAAAATTAAGACTCTTGCCTAATAGTTGAACGTTTTCTAAAACTATAACTGATTGCAAATGTGTAATGTATTCAGATAAAACGTTCTTGTTTTAAATTCCGAATTTAAAATCTCCAAAGACGCAACTCCGTGATGAAACCGGAACTAATAGGACTCTGGCAATCACAACATCCCGGATAGATAAAAAATCTGAAATGTGTGCTCTTTCACAATTTTAAGGGATTAGCCGGGAAACCCTGGGAAAGAAGTTGTATATGTTGTGTTCTTGGGAAAGACACCTCGATGCTTATCACTCACTGGGAGACGCGGTGGGGATGGCCGGGTTGTAAGGGCGGGGGACTGTGGACTAGTAAGGTCTGGGCTTGACAGCTGGTCGAGTCATAATTTTTCGTGCCTGGAGAAGGTGTTTTCCTCTCACAGTGCCACCTTCAGCCGGAAAAACCATTCGTTGTATTCATTGTATGATTAATGTCTCCACAGCCGTTAGGCTGGATCCACTGACAATGGAGACGGGGTCGGAATTATAGACGAAGTCGTTAGAGCGCTTCTGACCTAATCTCGTTCCAAGATCCTATCATGTGATTGTAATTGAACTTAGACCTTTCAATCGCTTCGCCGTGGAAGATCTCGGTACTAGTGAGCTACCTCCGACCCGGTGAAAATAGAAAGCGGACTCAAAAGCTCGACGGAATCGGAGTCGGAAAAATCAGAACGGTTCAATTTTTTCCGATTCTGATTATGACACCAAGGCTTATGATCTAGCAGAAACTAGAGTTCTCAAGCTATCCGATAGCTTATAAATCAAACAATTTAGATGTAATAGATTGCAAGCGACGGATCGGAGTAAGAAACATCACTATTC